CAGTGTTGTGTGTTACAGCACACACACACACACACACACACACACACACACACACACACACACACACACACACACACACACACACACACACACACACACACACACACACACACACACACACACACACACACACACACACACAGGGAGTGGCCCTCCCTCTCCCCTGAGTCTGTTCAGAGTTCATTGTAGAGCAGCAGCAGCAGCAGCAGCAACAGCAACAGCAGCAGCAGCAGCAGCAGCAGTATCAGCAGCAGCAGCAGTATCAGCAGCAGCAGCAGTAGCAGCCTGTAACAGCAGCAACAGCAACAGCAGCAGCAGCAGCAGCAGCAGTAGCAGCAGCTGTGTGTCAGCAGCAGCAGTGTGCAGTAGCAGCAGGTATTTATTGCAGACTCCAGTCTCTCTTTCCTGTGGACACAACTACTGCCTGAAATGTGGACTCACTGTCCAGGACCACTGGGACACGGAGGAGGAGCAGCGGCTCTACACCTGTCCTGAGTGTCGTGTGAGCTTCACCCCCAGGCCTGTGCTGAGTAAGAACCTCCTGTTAGCAGCTGTAGTGGAGCAGATGAGGACAGCGCCCCCTGCTGTCCTCTGTGCTGGGCCTCAGGACCTCTGTGCTGGGCCTCAGGACCTCTCTGCTGGGCCTCAGGACCTCTGTGCTGGGCCTCAGGACCTCTGTGCTGGGCCTCAGGACCTCTGTGCTGGGCCTCAGGACGTGTCCTGTGACGTCTGCACTGGGGTGAAGCTGAAGGCGGTCCAGTCCTGTCTACAGTGTGTGGCCTCCTTCTGTGAGCGCCACCTACAGCCTCATGCTGATGCTGCAGTGTTTCAGAAACACCAGCTGGTGGCGCCATCGCACACATTCCAAGAAAACATCTGCCCTGAGCACCACCAGGTGAAGACCATGTTCTGTCGCACTGACCAGCAGCTCCTGTGTGTGGTCTGCTGCCTGGAGAAACACAAGGACCATGAGACCGTGACCTCAGCCTCAGAGCGGGCCCAGAGGGAGGCCCAGCTGAGGGACCTGCTCCTCCAGAACCTCCAGCTCAAAGACACAGAGAGGACCTCCCTCCAACAGCAGACCCAGGACATCAGCCGCTCTGCCCACACAGCACTGCAGCTCAGCAGGGACAGCTTCAGAGACATGACCCTTCTCCTGGAGACAAGAGCCAAAGAAGTGGAGCAGCAGATCCAGTCCGAGGAGGAGACACAACTGATCCGAGTCCGAGAGATCCAAGACCGAGTGAAGCAGGAGCTGAGTGAGCTGCAGCAGCGCCTCCGTGACCTGGACACACTGTCCCTCACCAAAGACCACAACAGCTTTATACAGCTCTCCTCTACTCTGGCCACAGACACACAGGGGCCAGTCCCAGCCAGGGGCCACACACAGGGGCCAGTCCCAGCCAGGGGCCACACACAGGGGCCAGTCCCAGCCAGGGGCCACACACAGGGGCCAGTCCCAGCCAGGGGCCACACACAGGGGCCAGTCCCAGCCAGGGGCCACACAGAGACCAGGAACCCCTTTGAGGAGGTGACCAAAGCTGTGTCTAAGCTCAAGAAGAAAGTGCAGCTGACTGTGGAGGAGGGACGCAGCAGCATCGGTCTGGCTCTGAGTCGAGTCCAGGTTTTACTGACAGGACCCAGAAGCAGAGACCAGTTCCTCTACTATTCCACGGACTTCACTCTGGACCCAAACACCGCTCACCCCAATCTGTCTCTGTCTCATGGGAACAGAAAAGTGACCTTCATGAGAGAGTTCCAGGACATCCCCTACGATGAGGACCAGGACACCCCCAGGTTCAGCTCGTGTTGCCAGGTTCTGACCCGGGAGAGCGTGACGGGCCGGTGTTACTGGGAGCTGGAGTGGAGCGGGAAGTACGTGTCCATTGCTGTGTCCTCCAAAGACATTCAGAGGAAAGGAGACAAGGAGGAGTCTGCGTTTGGAGACAATGATAAATCCTGGGCCTTGTTCTGTCACAAAACCAGTCCTTCGTTTTTCTGTGACTCCGTCCAGACCCAGGCCTCGGGTCCGGTGGGGTCCAGGGTCGGGGTGTACCTGGACCACAGCGCTGGGGTCTTGTCTTTTCACGATGTGTTTGAGAACATGAGGCTGATCCACAGAGAGATCACCTCCTTCTCTCAGCCGCTCCACGCTGGACTCAAGTTCAACTGCTTCTACTTCAGTAATCCTGGAGACACTGTGTTTATCCCCAAACTCAAATAACAACTTTGTTCTCTGGTCTCTCTCTCTCTCTGGTCTCTCTCTCTCTGGTCTCCCTCTCTCCCTCTCTCTCTGGTCTCTTTCATCACTTACTGGTCTCCCTCCCTCTGATCTCTCTGGTCTCCCTCTCTGATCCCTCCCTCCCTCTGCTCTCTCTCTCTCTGGTCTCTCTCTCTCTCTGGTCTCTCTCTCCCTCTGATCTCTCTCTCTGGTCTCCCTCTCTGATCCCTCCCTCCCTCTGGTCTCTCTCTCTCTGGTCTCCCTCTCTGATCCCTCCCTCCCTCTGCTCTCTCTCTCTCTGGTCTCTCTCTCCCTCTGATCTCTCTCTCTGGTCTCCCTCTCTGATCCCTCCCTCCCTCTGGTCTCTCTCTCTCTGGTCTCCCTCTCTGATCCCTCCCTCCCTCTGCTCTCTCTCTCTCTGGTCTCTCTCTCCCTCTGATCTCTCTCTCTGGTCTCCCTCTCTGATCCCTCCCTCCCTCTGGTCTCTCTCTCTCTGGTCTCCCTCTCTGATCCCTCCCTCCCTCTGCTCTCTCTCTCTCTGGTCTCTCTCTCCCTCTGATCTCTCTCTCTGGTCTCCCTCTCTGATCCCTCCCTCCCTCTGGTCTCTCTGGTCTCCCTCTCTGATCCCTCCCTCCCTCTGGTCTCTCCCTCTCTGATCCCTCCCTCCCTCTGGTCCCTCTCTCTCTGGTCTCCCTCTCTGATCCCTCCCTCACTCTGATCTCTCTGGTCTCTTTCATCACTTACTGGTCTCTCTCTCTCTGGTATCTCTCTGGTCTCTCTCTCTGGTATCTCTCTGGTCTCTCTCTCTGGTCTCACTCTGGTCTCTCTCTGGTATCTCTCTGGTCTCTCTCTCTGGTCTCTCTCTCTGGTCTCTCTCTCTGGTCTCTCTCTCTGGTCTCTCTCTCTCTGGTCTCTCTCCCTCCCTCTGATCTCTCTGGTCTCTTTCATCACTTACTGGTCTCTCTCTGTAACCTTTATTTAACTTTCCTGATTAAATAAAAATGTAAATGTTATTTTCTGTATTCATGTAAAGAGGATTTTAATTTCTGTTTTCTACAGTGAAGCATTTCAATCTGAAATAAAAGTATGTATTCTATAATTTGTCTTTTTACTTACTGTAGTCTCAGAAAACTAAAAATATTAAATAAAGAAAATAAAGAGGAAAAAACTCAGAGGGCGTAATATTAATTAACCATTACATTTTAGTTGTTTCTCTCTCTGGCCTCAATTCAATGATCTACAGCCCCAGTCCCGGGTCTGCGGCCCCAGTCCCGGGTCTGCGGCCCCAGTCCCGGGTCCGCGGCCCCAGTCCCGGGTCTGCGGCCCCAGTCCCGGGTCCGCGGCCCCAGTCCCGGGTCCGCGGCCCCAGTCCCGGGTCTGCGGCCCCAGTCCCGGGTCTGCGGCCCCAGTCCCGGGTCCACAAATACATTGAGTGGATGAAACAGTTTATTAAACAATAATCACCAGTGAGCTACCGTACCAAAGTGGTTAAAAATGATTTTATTAATTTTCTCTCATGCTGAAAAAAACAGGCGACACTAGGTTCTGTTACTTCAGTTTGTACTGCTAGCATAACGCCATATTCACATTCTCTGCAGCTTCATATAGTTTACACATTAAAATCAGATCAATGTTCAACACAGATAATATAAACATTACCAAACAATGTGTCCTTACGGTTTACAGTATTAACCTTTACAAACATCAGTTAAGGCAAACTCGGTCCTCATTCCAACCAACAGAAGCACGCCCGAGTCTACCCATTTCCTCCTGTCCAGTCTGAACCCAGTCCTCGGTCTCTCCAAGATGTCTGCCCCTGGTCTCTCCAAGATGTCTGCCCCTGGTCTCTCCAAGATGTCTGCCCCCGGTCTCTCCAAGATGTCTGCCCCCGGTCTCTCCAAGATGTCTGCCCCCGGTCTCTCCAAGATGTCTGCTCATTCAGATCAATGGCCTGAGTTCATTGTCTCATTAGCAGAAGTGACATGTTCTGAAAGACCAGAGAGAGAGAGAGCGAGACCAGAGAGAGAGACCAGAGAGAGAGACCAGAGAGAGAGACCAGAGAGAGAGACCAGAGAGAGAGACCAGAGAGGGAGCGAGACCAGAGAGAGAGACCAGAGAGAGACCAGAGAGAGAGAGAGAGAGAGACCAGAGAGAGACCAGAGAGAGAGACCAGAGAGAGAGAGACCAGAGAGAGAGAGAGAGAGACCAGAGAGAGAGAGAGAGAGACCAGAGAGAGAGACCAGAGAGAGAGACCAGAGAGAGAGGGAGCGAGACCAGAGAGAGAGACCAGAGAGAGAGACCAGAGAGAGAGACCAGAGAGAGCGACACCAGAGAGCGACACCAGAGAGCGACACCAGAGAGCGAGAGACCAGAGAGAGAGAGAGCGAGACCAGAGAGAGAGACCAGAGAGCGAGAGACGAGAAAGAGATAGACCAGAGAGAGACCAAAGAGAGAGACCAGAGAGAGAGACCAGAGAGAGACCAAGAGAGAGAGACCAGAGAGAGAGACCAGAGAGAGACCAAAGAGAGAGACCAGAGAAACTGAAGATGACAGATTTCAAAGCTACTATCCAGGTAATAGAATACATCCATAATCTGAACCTGGAGACTTGAGGAAATGGCTGGAGTTGGCTGTGCTCCTGCTTGGTTGGTGTGAAAACCTGCAGCCTGGAGGCCCCTTGAGGACCGAGTGGAACACCCCAGGTCCTAAGCTCCCCAGGCCCCTCTCAGCGTGTCCATGGACATACACCAGAGGCCAACGTGGTTCGTACAGGAGCAGGTCATTTCATGTATCGTCCCAGGTGCTCACGAGCCACAATCAGTCTCTGGATCTGAGCCGTGCCCTCATAGATCTGCAACACAACAGCACGTCACAACACAACAACAGCATACGTCACAACACAACAACACAACAGCATACGTCACAACACAACAGCACAACAGCAAACGTCACAACACAACAACACAACAACACGTCACAACACAACAACACAACAGCATACGTCACAACACAACAACACAACAGCAAACGTCACAACACAACAACACAACACAACAGCATACGTCACAACACAACAACACAACAGCAAACGTCACAACACAACAACACAACAGCACGTCACAACACAACAACAGCATACGTCACAACACAACAACACAACAGCATACGTCACAACACAACAGCACAACAGCAAACGTCACAACACAACAACACAACAGCACGTCACAACACAACAACACAACAACACGTCACAACACAACAACACAACAGCATACGTCACAACACAACAACACAACAGCAAACGTCACAACACAACAACACAACACAACAGCATACGTCACAACACAACAACACAACAGCAAACGTCACAACACAACAACACAACAGCACGTCACAACACAACAACAGCATACGTCACAACAGCAGAGACCAGAGAGAGACCAGAGAGAGACCAGAGAGAGATACCAGAGAGAGACCAGAGAGAGACCAGAGAGAGACCAGAGAGAGAGACCAGAGAGAGACCAGAGAGAGACCAGAGAGAGACCAGAGAGAGATACCAGAGAGAGACCAGAGAGAGACCAGAGAGAGACCAGAGAGAGACCAGAGAGAGACCAGAGAGAGACCAGAGAGAGACCAGAGACCAGAGAGAGACCAGAGACCAGAGGTCAAAATCAAAGTACTAACCATGACCTTGTTATGAACATGCTATTTTTCACAAACATATCTTCCTGTCACCTGGTAGCTCTTACACACACACATACAGTGCCTTGCGAAAGTATTCGGCCCCCTTGAACCTTTCAACATTTCGCCACATTTTAGTCTTCAAACATAAAGATATAAAATTTTAATTTTTTTGTCATGAATCAACAACAAGTGGGACACAATCGTGAAGTGGAACGAAATTTATTGGATAATTTAAACTTTTTTAACAAATAAAAAACTGAAAAGTGGGGCATGCAATATTATTGGGCCCCTTTACTTTCAGTGCAGCAAACTCAGTCCAGAAGTTCAGTGAGGATCTTTGAATGATCCAATGTTGTCCTAAATGACTGATGATGATAAATAGAATGCACCTGTGTGTAATCAAGTCTCCGTATAAATGCACCTGCTCTTTGATAGTCTCAGGGTTCTGTTTAAAGCACAGAGAGAACCATGAAGACAAAGGAACACACCAGGCAGGTCCGAGATACTGTTGTGGAGAAGTTTAAAGCCGGATTTGGATACAAAAAGATTTCCCAAGCTTTAAACATCTTAAGGAGCACTGTGCAAGCAATTATATTGAAATGGAAGGAGTATCAGACCACTGCAAATCTACCAAGACCCGGCCGTCCCTCCAAACTTTCATCTCAAACAAGGAGAAGACTGATCAGAGATGCGGCCAAGAGGCCCATGGTCACTCTGGATGAACTGCAGATAACTACAGCTGAGGTGGGAGAGTCTGTCCATAGGACAACAATCAGTCGTGCACTGCACAAATCTGGCCTTTATGGAAGAGTGGCAAGAAGAAAGCCATTTCTCAAAGATATCCATAAAAAGTCTCATTTAAAGTTTGCCACAAGCCACCTGGGAGACACACCAAACATGTGGAAGAAGGTGCTCTGGTCAGATGAAACCAAAATCAAACTTTTTGGCCACAATGCAAAACGATATGTTTGGCGTAAAAGCAACACAGCTCATCACCCTGAACACACCATCCCCACCTCAGCTGTAGTTATCTGCAGTTCATCCAGAGTGATCATGGGCCTCTTGGCTGCATCTCTGATCAGTCTTCTCCTTGTATGAGATGAAAGTTTGGAGGGACGGCCGGGTCTTGGTAGATTTGCAGTGGTCTCATACTCCTTCCATTTCAATATAATTGCTTGCACAGTGCTCCTTGACATGTTTAAAGCTTGGGAAATCTTTTTGTATCCAAATCCGGCTTTAAACTTCTCCACAACAGTATCTCGGACCTGCCTGGTGTGTTCCTTTGTCTTCATGGTTCTCTCTGCGCTTTAAACAGAACCCTGAGACTATCAAAGAGCAGGTGCATTTATACGGAGACTTGATTACACACAGGTGCATTCTATTTATCATCATCAGTCATTTAGGACAACATTGGATCATTCAAAGATCCTCACTGAACTTCTGGACTGAGTTTGCTGCACTGAAAGTAAAGGGGCCGAATAATATTGCACGCCCCACTTTTCAGTTTTTTATTTGTTAAAAAAGTTTAAATTATCCAACAAATTTTGTTCCACTTCACGATTGTGTCCCACTTGTTGTTGATTCATGACAAAAAAATAAAATTGTATATCTTTATGTTTGAAGACTGAAATATGGCGAAATGTTGAAAGGTTCAAGGGGGCCGAATACTTTCGCAAGGCACTGTATCTACTTCCTGTCACCTGGTAGATCTTACACACACACACACATATATCCACTTCCTGTCACCTGGTAGCTCTTACACACACACACACATATATCTACTTCCTGTCACCTGGTAGCTCTTACACACACACATATATCTACTTCCTGTCACCTGGTAGCTCTTACACACACACACACACACACATATATCTACTTCCTGTCACCTGGTAGCTCTTACACACACACACACACATATCTACTTCCTGTCACCTGGTAGCTCTTACACACACACACATATATCTACTTCCTGTCACCTGGTAGCTCTTACACACACACATATATCTACTTCCTGTCACCTGGTAGCTCTTACACACACACACACATATATCTACTTCCTGTCACCTGGTAGCTCTTACACACACACACACATATCTACTTCCTGTCACCTGGTAGCTCTTACACACACACACATATCTACTTCCTGTCACCTGGTAGCTCTTACACACACACACACATATATCTACTTCCTGTCACCTGGTAGCTCTTACACACACACACACATATCTACTTCCTGTCACCTGGTAGCTCTTACACACACACACACATATCTACTTCCTGTCACCTGGTAGCTCTTACACACACACACACACACACACACATATATCTACTTCCTGTCACCTGGTAGCTCTTACACACACACACATATCTACTTCCTGTCACCTGGTAGCTCTTACACACACACACACACACACACACATATATCTACTTCCTGTCACCTGGTAGATCTTACACACACACACATATATCTACTTCCTGTCACCTGGTAGCTCTTACACACACACATATATCTACTTCCTGTCACCTGGTAGATCTTGGCGTCCCTCATGAGCTTCTCCACTGGGTACTCGCTGTTAAAGCCGTTGCCCCCGAACACCTGGACGGCGTCGGAGGCCACCTGGTTGGCGATGTCCCCGGCGAAGGCTTTGGCGATGGAGGCGTAGTAGGTGTTACGTCTCCCCTGGTCCGTCTCCCAGGCTGATCGCTGGTACGCCAAACGAGCCAGCTCCACCTTCATGGCCATCTCCGCCAGCAGGAAGGACACGGCCTGGTGCTACAGACACAGATGGTTACAGAGGGTCTCTCTCCCCACAGAGACCAGAGAGAGAGACACACAAGGGAGAGAGAGACCAGAGGGAGAGACCAGAGGGAGAGACCAGAGAGAGAGACACAAGGGAGAGAGAAACCAGAGAGAGAGACCAGAGAGAGAGACACACAAGGGAGAGAGAAACCAGAGGGAGAGACCAGAGAGAGAGACACAAGGGAGAGAGAAACCAGAGAGAGAGACCAGAGAGAGAGACCAGAGGGAGAGACCAGAGAGAGAGACACACAAGGGAGAGAGAAACCAGAGGGAGAGACCAGAGAGAGAGACACAAGGGAGAGAGAAACCAGAGAGAGAGACCAGAGGGAGAGACCAGAGGGAGAGACCAGAGGGAGAGACCAGAGAGAGAGACACACAAGGGAGAGAGAGACCAGAGGGAGAGACCAGAGGGAGAGACCAGAGAGAGACCAGAGAGAGAGACCAGAGGGAGAGACCAGAGAGAGAGACCAGAGAGAGACCAGAGAGAGACCAGAGAGAGACCAGAGAGAGAGACCAGAGAGAGAGACACACAAGGGAGAGAGAAACCAGAGGGAGAGACCAGAGGGAGAGACACAAGGGAGAGAGACACAAGGGAGAGAGAAACCAGAGGGAGAGACCAGAGGGAGAGACCAGAGATACACAAGGGAGAGAGAAACCAGAGAGAGAGACACACAAGGGAGAGAGAAACCAGAGGGAGACCAGAGAGAGAGACACAAGGGAGAGAGAGACCAGAGGGAGAGACCAGAGGGAGAGACACAAGGGAGAGAGACACAAGGGAGAGAGAAACCAGAGAGAGACACACAAGGGAGAGAGAAACCAGAGGGAGACCAGAGAGAGAGACACAAGGGAGAGAGAAACCAGAGGGAGAGACCAGAGAGAGAGACACAAGGGAGAGAGAAACCAGAGGGAGAGACCAGAGAGAGACCAGAGAGAGATACACACAAGGGAGAGAGAAACCAGAGGGAGAGACACACAAGGGAGAGAGAAACCAGAGGGAGACCAGAGAGAGAGACACAAGGGAGAGAGAGACCAGAGGGAGAGACCAGAGAGAGAGACACACAAGGGAGAGAGAGACCAGAGAGAGACCAGAGAGAGAGACACACAAGGGAGAGAGAAACCAGAGGGAGAGACCAGAGGGAGAGACCAGAGAGAGAGACCAGAGGGAGAGACCAGAGGGAGAGACACAAGGGAGAGAGAAACCAGAGGGAGAGACCAGAGAGAGAGACCAGAGAGAGAGACACAAGGGAGAGAGAAACCAGAGGGAGAGACCAGAGAGAGAGACCAGAGGGAGAGACCAGAGGGAGAGACACAAGGGAGAGAGAAACCACAGGGAGAGACCAGAGAGAGAGACCAGAGAGAGAGACACACAAGGGAGAGAGAAACCAGAGAGAGACCAGAGAGAGAGACACACAAGGGAGAGAGAGACCAGAGAGAGACCAGAGAGAGAGACACACAAGGGAGAGAGAAACCAGAGGGAGAGACCAGAGGGAGAGACCAGAGAGAGAGACACACAAGGGAGAGAGAGACCAGAGAGAGATCAGAGAGAGAGACACACAAGGGAGAGAGAAACCAGAGGGAGAGACCAGAGGGAGAGACCAGAGAGAGAGACCAGAGGGAGAGACCAGAGGGAGAGACACAAGGGAGAGAGAAACCAGAGGGAGAGACCAGAGAGAGAGACCAGAGGGAGAGACCAGAGAGAGAGACACAAGGGAGAGAGAAACCAGAGGGAGAGACCAGAGAGAGAGACCAGAGGGAGAGACACAAGGGAGAGAGAAACCACAGGGAGAGACCAGAGAGAGAGACCAGAGAGAGAGACACACAAGGGAGAGAGAAACCAGAGGGAGAGACCAGAGAGAGAGACACAAGGGAGAGAGAAACCAGAGGAAGAGACCAGAGAGAGAGACACACAAGGGAGAGAGAAACCACAGGGAGAGACCAGAGGGAGACCAGAGAGAGAGACACAAGGGAGAGAGAAACCAGAGAGAGAGACCAGAGAGGGACACAAGGGAGAGAGAGACCAGAGAGAGAGACCAGAAAGAGAGACACACAAGAGAAAGAGACACCAGAGAGAGAGACCAGAGAGAGAGACACAAGGGAGAGAGAAACCAGAGGGAGAGACCAGAGAGAGAGACACAAGGGAGAGAGAAACCAGAGGGAGAGACCAGAGAGAGAGACACAAGGGAGAGAGAAACCAGAGGGAGAGACCAGAGGGAGAGACCAGAGGGAGAGACCAGAGAGAGACACACAAGGGAGAGAGACACCAGAGGGAGAGACCAGAGAGAGACACAAGGGAGAGAGAAACCAGAGAGAGAGACCAGAGAGAGAGACACAAGGGAGAGAGAAACCAGAAAGAGCGGAGAAAGAGACCAGAGAGAGATGAGAAAGGGAGAGAAATCAGAAAGAGAAAGAGAGAGAAAGAGAGAGAAAGAGAGAGCTGGTGTGTAAGTCTCAGGATGCATTAAATAAGTGTGTGTGACTTTCAGACCTCAGCAATGACTTTCCCGAAGGTCTTCCTCTCCAGAGCGTATCGCGTGGCCTCGTCCAGAGCCCTCTGAGCCAGACCAGTCGCTCCTGCTGCCACCTGAGGAGTCACACATGGTCACATTCACAAGATCAGGACCAGATGGTTGGAACTGTCTGCAGATATATGGTCCAGAGCGGGACAAAGTGATACCGATCTGATAAATAGGATTCCTCTAAGACCTATATCACATTCTAGCCTCTGCAGTAGAATGCTCCAGTAGGACCAGCACTGACACTTACTGAGGTCCAGTAGGACCAGCACTGACACTTACTGAGGTCCACTGGGACCAGCACTGACACTTACTGAGGTCCAGTAGGACCAGCACTGACACTTACTGAGGTCCAGTAGGACCAGCACTGACACTTACTGAGGTCCACTGGGACCAGCACTGACACTTACTGAGGTCCAGTAGGACCAGCACTGACACTTACTGAGGTCCAGTAGGACCAGCACTGACACTTACTGAGGTCCAGTAGGACCAGCACTGACACTTACTGAGGTCCAGTAGGACCAGCACTGACACTTACTGAGGTCCAGTAGGACCAGAACTGACACTTACCGAGGTCCAGTAGGACCAGCACTGACACTTACTGAGGTCCAGTAGGACCAGCACTGACACTTACTGAGGTCCACTGGGACCAGCACTGACACTTACTGAGGTCCAGTAGGACCAGCACTGACACTTACTGAGGTCCAGTAGGACCAGCACTGACACTTACTGAGGTCCAGTAGGACCAGCACTGACACTTACTGAGGTCCAGTAGGACCAGCACTGACACTTACTGAGGTCCAGTAGGACCAGCACTGACACTTACTGAGGTCCAGTAGAACCAGCACTGACACTTACTGAGGTCCAGTAGAACCAGCACTGACACTTACTGAGGTCCAGTAGGACCAGCACTGACACTTACTGAGGTCCAGTAGAACCAGCACTGACACTTACTGAGGTCCAGTAGGACCAGCACTGACACTTACTGAGGTCCAGTAGGACCAGCACTGACACTTACTGAGGTCCAGTAGGACCAGCACTGACACATACTGAGGTCCAGTAGGACCAGCACTGACACTTACTGAGGTCCAGTAGGACCAGCACTGACACTTACTGAGGTCCAGTAGGACCAGCACTGACACTTACTGAGGTCCAGTAGGACCAGCACTGACACTTACTGAGGTCCAGTAGGACCAGCACTGACACTTACTGAGGTCCAGTAGGACCAGCACTGACACTTACTGAGGTCCAGTAGGACCAGCACTGACACTTACTGAGGTCCAGTAGGACCAGCACTGACACTTACTGAGGTCCAGTAGGACCAGCACTGACACTTACTGAGGTCCAGTAGGACCAGCACTGACACTTACTGAGGTCCAGTAGGACCAGCACTGACACTTACTGAGGTCCAGTAGGACCAGCACTGACACTTACTGAGGTCCAGTAGGACCAGCACTGACACTTACTGAGGTCCAGTAGGACCAGCACTGACACTTGTCCATTATCGGCAGCTAGTAGTAAGTCATTTGTGACTTTGACTAGTGCCGTTTCAGTCTATGATGAGTTCTGAATCCTGATTGAAAGACTTCAAACATATTATTTTCCTGCAGGTGGCAGCAAAGCTGCTCAGCTATAAGTTTTTCCAGGATTTTAGATATAAAAGTGAGGTTTGAGATCAGTCTGTAGTTTGTAAGTAGGGACTTCATGAAAGAACCATTCTTTGTAGACATTCTCCCCTCCAGAGGACAGAGCACCTGGACCCAGAGGACCCAGCCTCCTGAACCCAGAGGACCCAGCCTCCTGAACCCAGAGGACCCAGCCTCCAGGACCCAGAGGACCCAGCCTCCTGGACCCAGAGGACCCAGAGGACCCAGCCTCCTGGACCCAGAGGACCCAGCCTCCTGGACCCAGAGGACCCAGAGGACCCAGCCTCCTGGACCCAGAGGACCCAGCCTCCTGGACCCAGAGGACCCAGAGGACCCAGCCTCCTGGACCCAGAGGACCCAGCCTCCAGGACCCAGCCTCCAGGACCCAGAGGACCCAGCCTCCAGGACCCAGAGGACCGAGCCTGGACCCTGAGGACTCACCGGGGGCCTGGTCTTGTCGAAGGCTCCCATGGCGATCTTGAAGCCGGCTCCTTCTCCCAGCAGAACGTTCTCTTTGGGGATCCTCACGTCCTCGAACAGGATTCCTCTGGTGTCAGAGCAGCGCTGGCCCATGTTCATCTCCTGCAGAGACACAGGGACTACAGTGAGACATACTCTCCCTCTGGTCCCTCTCCCTCTGGTCCCTCTCCCTCTGGTCCCTCTCCCTCTGGTCCCTCTCCCTCTGGTCACTCTCCCTCTGGTCCCTCTCCCTCTGGTCCCTCTCCCTCTGGTCCCTCTCCCTCTGGTCCCTCTCCCTCTGGTCCCTCTCCCTCTGGTCCCTCTCCCCCTGGTCTCACCTTCCGTCCGACTTGGATCCCCGGAGTGTCTGCGTCCACGATGAAACCGGTGAAGGCTTTTCCCGTGGGACATTTGGGATCTGGGTTTGTGCGCGCCAACAGGAAGTACCTGAGAACAAGAAAACATGTAGAACTCCCTCACATAGACTAGAGGCCACACATGGTACTGCAGCCTACATCCACATGGACTAGAGGCCACACATGGTACTGCAGCCTACATCCACATGGACTAGAGGCCACACATGGTACTGCAGCCTACATCCACATGGACTAGAGGCCACCCATGGTACTGCAGCCTAAACCCACATGGACTAGAGGCCACACATGGTACTGCAGCCTAAATCCACATGGACTAGAGGCCACACATGGTACTGCAGCCTAAACCCACATGGACTAGAGGCCACCCACAGTACTGCAGCCTAAACCCACATGGACTAGAGGCCACACATGGTACTGCAGCCTACATCCACATGGACTAGAGGCCACACATGGTACTGCAGCCTAAACCCACATGGACTAGAGGCCACCCATGGTACTGCAGCCTAAACCCACATGGACTAGAGGCCACACATGGTACTGCAGCCTACATCCACATGGACTAGAGGCCACACATGGTACTGCAGCCTACATCCACATGGACTAGAGGCCACACATGGTACTGCAGCCTACATCCACATGGACTAGAGGCCACCCACGGTACTGCAGCCTAAACCCACATGGACTAGAGGCCACACATGGTACTGCAGCCTACATCCACATGGACTAGAGGCCACCCATGGTACTGCAGCCTACATCCACATGGACTAGAGGCCACCCATGGTACTGCAGCCTACATCCACATGGACTAGAGGCCACCCACAGTACTGCAGCCTACATCCACATGGACTAGAGGCCACCCATGGTACTGCAGCCTACATCCACAAGGACTAGAGGCCACCCATGGTACTGCAGCCTACATCCACATGGACTAGAGGCCACCCACAGTACTGCAGCCTACATCCACATGGACTAGAGGCCACACATGGTACTGCAGCCTACATCCACATGGACTAGAGGCCACACATGGTACTGCAGCCTAAATCCACATGGACTAGAGGCCACCCATGGTACTGCAGCCTACATCCACATGGACTAGATATTTGTATATCTAAATAAAGCCTCATCTCGCCTCGCCCTCTTGACACTGCCACTTTCCTCTCTCCCTCTGGCCTCTCTCCCTCTCTGGCCTCTCTCCCTCTCTGGCCTCTCTCCCTCTCTGGCCTCTCTCCCTCTCTGGCCTCTCTCCCTCTCTGGCCTCTCTCCCTCTTCCCTCTGGCCCCTCTCCCTCTGGCCCCTCTCCCTCTGGCCCCTCTCCCTCTGGCCTCTCTCCCTCTGGCCTCTCTCCCTCTGGCCTCTCTCCCTCTGGCCTCTCTCCCTCTGGCCTCTCTCCCTCTGGCCCCTCTCCCTCTCTGGCCCCTCTCCCTCTGGCCCCTCTCCCTCTGGCCTCTCTCCCTCTGGCCTCTCTCCCTCTGGCCTCTCTCCCTCTGGCCCCTCTCCCTCTCTGGCCCCTCTCCCTCTCTGGCCCCTCTCCCTCTGGCCCCTCTCCCTCTCTGGCCCCTCTCCCTCTCTGGCCCCTCTCCCTCTCTGGCCCCTCTCCCTCTCTGGCCCCTCTCTCCCTCTGGCCTCTCTCCCTCTGGCCTCTCTCCCTCTGGCCCCTCTCCCTCTGGCCCCTCTCCCTCTGGCCCCTCTCCCTCTGGCCCCTCTCCCTCTCTCCCCCTCTCCCTCTCTCCCTCTGGCCCCTCTCCCTCTGGCCCCTCTCCCTCTGGCCCCTCTCCCTCTGGCCCCTCTCCCTCTGGCCCCTCTCCCTCTGGCTCCTCTCCCTCTGGCCCCTCTCCCTCTGGCCTCTCTACCTCTGGCCTCTCTCCCTCTGGCCCCTCTCCCTCTGGCCCCTCTCCCTCTGGCCCCTCTCCCTCTGGCCCCTCTCCCTCTGGCTCCTCTCCCTCTGGCCTCTCTCCCTCTGGCCTCTCTCCCTCTGGCCTCTCTCCCTCTGGCCCCTCTCCCTCTGGCCCCTCTCCCTCTGGCCTCTCTCCCTCTGGCCTCTCTCCCTCTGGCCCCTCTCCCTCTGGCCCCTCTCCCTCTGGCCCCTCTCCCTCTGGCCCCTCTCCCTCTGGCCCCTCTCCCTCTGGCCCCTCTCCCTCTGGCCCCTCTCCCGCTGGCTCCTCTCCCTCTGGCCCCTCTCCCTCTCTCCCCCTCTCCCTCTCTCCCCCTCTGGCCTCTCTCCCTCTGGCCTCTCTCCCTCTGGCCTCTCTCCCTCTGGCCTCTCTCCCTCTGGCCTCTCTCCCTCTGGCCCCTCTCCCTCTGGCCCCTCTCCCTCTGGCCCCTCTCCCTCTGGCCCCTCTCCCTCTGGCCCCTCTCATTCTCTGGCCCCTCTCCCTCTGGCCTCTCCCCCTCTGGCCTCTCTCCCTCTGGCCTCTCTCCCTCTCTCCCCCTCTGGCCTCTCTCCCTCTGGCCTCTCTCCCTCTGGCCCCTCTCCCTCTGGCCCCTCTCCCTCTGGCCCCTCTCCCTCTGGCCCCTCTCCCTCTGGCCCCTCTCATTCTCTGGCCCCTCTCCCTCTGGCCTCTCCCCCTCTGGCCTCTCCCCCTCTGGCCTCTCCCCCTCTGGCCTCTCCCCCTCTGGCCTCTCCCCCTCTGGCCTCTCCCCCTCTGGCCTCTCCCCCTCTGGCCTCTCCCCCTCTGGCCTCTCCCCCTCTGGCCTCTCCCCCTCTGGCCTCTCCCCCTCTGGCCTCTCTCCCTCTGGCCTCTCTCCCTCTGGCCTCTCTCCCTCTGGCCTCTCTCCCTCTGGCCTCTCTCCCTCTGGCCTCTCTCCCTCTGGCCTCTCTCTCTCTGGCCTCTCTCTCCCTCTGGCCTCTCTCCCTCTGGCCCCTCTCCCCCTGGCCTCTGGCTTCTCTCCCTCTGGCCTCTCTCTCTGGCCTCTCTCTCCCTCTGGCCTCTCTCTCTCTCTGGCCCCTCTCCCTCTGGCCCCTCTCCCTCTGGCCTCTCTCTCTGGCCTCTCTCTCCCTCTGGCCTCTCTCTCTCTCTGGCCCCTCTCCCTCTGGCCTCTCTCCCTCTGGCCTCTCTCTCTGGCCTCTCTCTCCCTCTGGCCTCTCTCTCTCTCTGGCCCCTCTCCCTCTGGCCCCTCTCCCTCTGGCCCCTCTCCCTCTGGCCTCTCTCTCTCTCTGGCCCCTCTCCCTCTGGCCCCTCTCCCTCTGGCCCCTCTCCCTCTGGCCCCTCTCCCTCTGGCCCCTCTCCCTCTGGCCTCTCTCCCTCTCTGGCCCCTCTCCCTCTGGCCCCTCTCCCTCTGGCCCCTCTCCCTCTGGCCCCTCTCCCTCTGGCCCCTCTCCCTCTGGCTCCTCTCCCTCTGGCTCCTCTCCCTCTGGCCCCTCTCCCCCTGGCCTCTGGCCTCTCTCCCTCTGGCCTCTCTCTCTGGCCCTCTCTCTCCCTCTGGCCTCTCTCTCTCTCTGGCCCCTCTCCCTCTGGCCCTCTCCCTCTGGCCCCTCTCCCTCTCTGGCCCCTCTCCTCTGGCCCCTCTCCCTCTGGCCTCTCTCCCTCTGGCCCTCTCCCTCTGGCCCCTCTCCCTCTGGCCCTCTCCCTCTGGCCCCTCTCCCTCTGGCCCCTCTCCCTCTGGCCCCTCTGGCCCCTCTCCCTCTGGCCTCTCTCCCTCTGGCCTCTCTCCCTCTGGCCCCTCTGGCCCCTCTCCCTCTGGCCTCTCTCCCTCTGGCCTCTCTCTCTGGCCTCTCTCTCCCTCTGGCCTCTCTCTCTCTCTGGCCCCTCTCCCTCTGGCCCCTCTCCCTCTGGCCCCTCTCCCTCTGGCCCCTCTCCCTCTGGCCCCTCTCCCTCTGGCCCTCTCCCTCTCTGGCCCCTCTCCCTCTGGCCCCTCTCCCTCTGGCCCCTCTCCCTCTGGCCCCTCTCCCTCTGGCCCCTCTCCCTCTGGCCCCTCTCCCTCTCCCCTCTGGCCCCTCTCCCTCTGGCCCCTCTCCCTCTGGCCCCTCTCCCTCTGGCCCCTCTTCCTCTGGCCCCTCTCCCTCTGGCCCCTCTCCCTCTGGCCCCTCTCCCTCTGGCCCCTCTGGCCCCTCTCCCTCTGGCCCCTCTCCCTCTGGCCCCTCTCCCTCTGGCCCCTCTCCCTCTCTGACCAGTTGGCTTTCCCGCCGTTGGTGATCCACATCTTCTGTCCGTTGACCACGTACTCGTCTCCAACCTTCACAGCCTTCGTTTTGAGTCCAGCCACATCCGAGCCGGCCCCAGGCTCCGTCACGCAGTAGGCCTGAGCAAACACACCACACTCACAGGCTCAGAAAGTCCAAAAGTGACTCACACAGCTTCTTAAAAGAGTATAGAAATGTGTGTTTGAAGAAGTAAAATGTGAACAAATCAGACCAAGACAAATTAAATGTACTGTAATATCTAAGTCAATATTATTATGCAAGTCTAAGATTACTTTTCTTCAGCAGGGAGAGGATGAGAGTGGATGTTATTGGACACACACACACACACACACACACACACACACACACACACACACACACTTACACACATCAGCGGCTCCTCCACCATTCTTCCCAGGTATTTCCTCTTCTGCTCGTCTGTCCCTGCGATGATCACAGGCATTTGCTGCACAGAAACACAACCATTTAACCATCGTTTAAGGTAAACATGGACTCATGCTAGCATGCTAACCTGGACTGCTAGCATGCTAACCTGGACTGCTAGCATGCTAACCTGGACTGCTAGCATGCTAACCTGGACTGCTAGCATGCTAACCTGGACTGCTAGCATGCTAACCTGGACTGCTAGCATGCTAACCTGGACTACTAGCATGCTAACCTGGACTACTAGCATGCTAACCTGGACTACTAGCATGCTAACCTGGACTACTAGCATGCTAACCTGGACTACTAGCATGCTAACCTGGACTACTAGCATGCTAACCTGGACTACTAGCATGCTAACCTGGACTACTAGCATGCGGCATCTCTGGCCTCTCTCGCTCGCTCTCTCTGGCCCCCAACTCTCTCTGGCCCCTAACTCTCTCTGGCCCCAACTCTCTCTGGCCCCCAACTCTCTCTGGCCCCCAACTCTCTCTGGCCCCCAACTCTCTCTGGCCCCCAACTCTCTCTGGCCCCCAACTCTCTCTGGCCCCCAACTCTCTCTGGCCCCCAACTCTCTCTGGCCCCCAACTCTCTCTGGCCCCCAACTCTCTCTGGCCCCCAACTCTCTCTGGCCCCCAACTCTCTCTGGCCCCCAACTCTCTCTGGCCCCCAACTCTCTCTGGCCCCCAACTCTCTCTGGCCCCCAACTCTCTCTGGCCCCCAACTCTCTCTGGCCCTTAACTCTCTCTGGCCCCCAACTCTCTCTGGCCCCTAACTCTCTCTGGCCCCTAACTCTCTCTGGCCCCTAACTCTCTCTGGCCCCTAACTCTCTCTGGCCCCTAACTCTCTCTGGCCCCCAACTCTCTCTGGCCCCTAACTCTCTCTGGCCCCTAACTCTCTCTGGCCCCTAACTCTCTCTGGCCCCTAACTCTCTCTGGCCCCTAACTCTCTCTGGCCCCTAACTCTCTCTGGCCCCTAACTCTCTCTGGCCCCTAACTCTCTCTGGCCCCTAACTCTCTCTGGCCCCTAACTCTCTCTGGCCCCTAACTCTCTCTGGCCCCTAACTCTCTCTGGCCCCTAACTCTCTCTGGCCCCTAACTCTCTCTGGCCCCTAACTCTCTCTGGCCCCTAACTCTCTCTGGCCCCTAACTCTCTCTGGCCCCTAACTCTCTCTGGCCCCCTAACTCTCTCTGGCCCCTAACTCTCTCTGGCCCCTAACTCTCTCTGGCCCCTAACTCTCTCTGGCCCCTAACTCTCTCTGGCCCCTAACTCTCTCTGGCCCCTAACTCTCTCTGAGCTCTTACCCCGAGTGAGTTAGCCTCGATGGCCGTCTGGATCCCGGTGCAGCCGTAAGCTAGCTCCTCTGTGATGAGGCAAGTGTCGAAGATGGACAGCCCCATTCCACCTGGAACCACAACAGCGTCACACCAACAACACAACAACAACAGCATCACACCAACATCACACCAACAACACAACAACAGCATCACAACATCACACCAACAACACAACAACAACACAACAGCATCACAACATCACAACAACAACACAACAGCATCACAACAGCATAACAACAACAACAACACAACAGCATCACAACAGCATAACAACAACAACAACACAACAGCGTCACAACATTACACCAACAACACAATAACAACAACACAACAGCGTCACAACATCACACCAACAACACAACAACAACACAACATCATCACAACACAACAACAACACAACAGCATCACACCAACAACACAACAGCATCACACCAACAACACAACAACAACACAACAGCATCACACCAACAACACAACAGCATCACACCAACAACACAACAACAACACAACAGCATCACACAACAGCATCACACCAACAACACAACAGCATCACAACATCACACCAACAACACAACAGCAACACAACAACAACACAACCACAACAGCGTCACACCATCACACCAACAACACAACAGCAACACAACAACAACACAACAGCAAACACAACAACAACACAACCACAACAGCGTCACAGCATCACACCAACAACACACAACAACAACACAACCACAACAGCGTCACAGCATCACACCAACAACACAACAACACAACAGCGTCACACCAACAACACAACAACACAGCGTTCACACGTCACACCAACAACACAACAACAGCGTCACAACCACAACACAACAACACAACAGCGTCACACCAACACCACAACAACAAACAGCGTCACAGCATCACACCAACAACAACACAACAACAACACAACATGCATCACAACAACACAACAGCATCACAACACACAACAACACCACAGCGTCACAATAATCACACCAACAACACAACATCACACCAACAACACAACAACATCACAACAACACAACAACACCCACAGTCATCACACCAACAACACAACAGCATCACACCAACAACACAACAACAAACAGCAGCATCACACCAACAACACAACAACAACACAACAGCATCACAGCATCACACACCACCACAACAACACAACAGCATCACACCAACAACACACCAACAACACAACAGCATCACACCAACAACACCAACAACAACACAACGGCATCCACAAACCAACAACACAACAACAACACAACAGCATCACAGCAACACCACCACCACAACAACACAACAGCAAACAATCACACCAACAACACACCAACAACACAACAGCATCACACCAACAACACAACAGCATCACACCAACAACACAACAACAACCACACAGCATCACACCAACAACACAACAACAACACAACAGCATCACAGCATCACACACCACCACAACACACAAACAGCATCACACCAACAACACACCACACAATACAACAGCATCACACCAACAACACAACAACAACACACCAACAACACAACAACAACACAACAGCACACACCAACAACACAACAGCATCACACCAACAACACACAAGCCACACACACCAACAACAACACAACAGCATCACACCAACAAACAACAACAACACCACAGCATCACACCAACAACACAACAACAACACACCAACAACACAACACAACAACCACAACAGCATCACACACCAACAACCACAACAACAACACAACAGCATCACACCAACAACACAACAACAACACAACAGCATCACAGCATCACACACACCACCCACAACACCAACACAACAGCATCACACAACAACACACCACAACACAACAACAACACCAAATCACACCAACAAACACAACAAACACACACACCAACAACACAACAACAACACAACTGCATCACACCAACAACACCAACAGCACACACAACAACACAACAGCATCACACCAACAACACAACAACAACACAACAGGCCATCACACCAACAACACAACCAACACACAACAAGCACACACACCAACAACACAACAGCATCACACCAACAACACAACAACAACACAACAGCATCACACACACCAACAACACAACAGCCCAATCACACCAACAACACAACAACAACAACAACAGCATCACACCAACAACACAACAGCATCACACCAACAACACAACAGCATAACAACAACACAACACAGCAACACTAACAGCCTAACAACAACATCAACACAACAGGGCGTCACAACATTACCCACCAACAACACAATACACCACATCACACAACAGCGGTCACAACACCACACACCAACAACACAACAACAACAACACAACATCACTCACAACACAACACAACACACACCAACAGCATCACAACACCAACACACGCATCAACACCAACACCACAACAACAACAACACAACAGCCGTCACAGCATTCACATCCAACAACACAACAGCGTCACAACAACACAACACAACAGCACACAGCCTCCAACAACACAACACAACACTCAACAGCACACAAGCACACACAACAACACAACACCACACACCAACAACACATACCAACAACACAACACTTCACAGCACACAACAACAACACAACAGCACAACAACAGGTCACACCAACAACACAACAGCAACACAACAACAACACAACCACAACAGCGCATCACACCATCACAACCAACAACACAACAGCGTCACACCAACAAAACAACAACCACAACAGCGTCACAGCATCACACGCAACTAACACACAACACCAACACAACCACAACAGCGGTCCACACCAACAACCACAACACAACAACGTACAACAGCATCACACAACAAACACACACAACACAACAGCAACACACCAACACGTCACACAACAACACACACAACACCAACAGCGTCACAACATACACCACAACAACAACATCACACACAACAACACAACAACATTCACACAACAACAACACAACATCACACCAACAAACAACAACAGCATCACACCAACAACACAACAACAACAGCATACACAACATCACAACCAACAACACAACAACAGCATCACCAACATCACTCCCACAACAACACCACAGCATCACACCAACAACACCACCAACACACAACACATCCACACAACACAACACAACACACACAGCATCACACCAACAACACCAACAACAAACCACAACACAACACGCAATCACAGCATCCACACCACCACAACAACACAACATCTCACACCACACAGTGACCAAACACCAACAACAACACACCAACAACACAACAGCATCACACCAACAACACAACAACAACACAACAGCATCACACCAACCAACACAACAACAACACAACAGCATCAACCAGCACACACACCACCACAACAACACAAACAGCATCACACCAACAACACAACCAACAAACCACAACAGCATCACACCAACAACACACACAGCATCAACACACCAACAACACAACATCAACAACACACAAACAGCCATCACACCAACACAACACAACAACAACACACCACAGCAACAACAACACACCACCACCACAACAACACAACAGCATCACACCCAACAACACACCAACAACACAACAGCATCACACCAACAACACAACAACAACACACCAACAACACAACAACAACACAACAGCATCATCACACCAACAACACCAACAACACACCAACAACACAACAGCATCACACCAACAACACAACCAACAACACAACAGCATCACCACCAACAACACAACAACAACACACCAACAGCCAACAACAACACAACAGCAACACAACACATCAACAACAACAACAACAGCATCAACACCAACACAACACCAACAACACACAACATCACACCAACAACCACACAACAACACCCAACCACAACACAACAACAACACACAACAGCATCACAACACCAACAACGAACAACAGCATCACACCAACAACATCAACAGCACACACACCAACACAACACAACAACAACACACCAACAACACAACATCACAACACAACACAACAGCATCACAACAACACACCTGCAGCGGCAACACAACAGCATCACAACACACACCTGCAGCGGCAACACAACAGCATCACAACAACACACCTGCAGCGGCAACACAACAGCATCACAACAACACACCTGCAGCGGCAACACAACAGCATCACAACAACACACCTGCAGCGGCAACACAACAGCATCACAACAACACACCTGCAGCGACAACACAACAGCATCACAACAACACACCTGCAGCGACAACACAACAGCATCACAACAACACACCTGCAGCGACAACACAACAGCATCACAACAACACACCTGCAGCGGCAACACAACAGCATCACAACAACACACCTGCAGCGACAACACAACAGCATCACAACAACACACCTGCAGCGGCAACACAACAGCATCACAACAACACACCTGCAGCGGCAACACAACAGCATCACAACAACACACCTGCAGCGACAACACAACAGCATCACAACAACACACCTGCAAGCGACAACACAACAGCATCACAACAACACACCTGCAGCGGCAACACAACAGCATCACAACAACACACCTGCAGCGCAACACAACAGCATCACAACAACACACCTGCAGCGGCAACACAACAGCATCACAACAACACACCTGCAGCGGCAACACAACAGCATCACAACACACACAGCGCACACAACAGCATCACAACAACACACCTGCAGCGACAACACACAGACACCACACACAGCGCAACACAAACAACACACCTGCAGCGGCAACACAACAGCATCACAACAACACACCTGCAGCGACAACACAACAGCATGCACAACAACACACCTGCAGCGACAACACAACAGCATCACAACAACACACCTGCAGCGACAACACAACAGCATCACAACAACACACCTGCAGCGGCAACACAACAGCATCACAACAACACACCTGCAGCGGCAACACAACAGCATCACAACAACACACCTGCAGCGGCAACACAACAGCATCACAACAACACACCTGCAGCGGCAACACAACAGCATCACAACAACACACCTGCAGCGGCAACACAACAGCATCACAACAACACACCTGCAACGGCAACACAACAGCATCACAACAACACACCTGCAACGGCAACACAACAGCATCACAACAACACACCTGCAGCGGCAACACAACAGCATCACAACAACACACCTGCAGCGGCAACACAACAGCATCACAACAACACACCTGCAGCGGCAACACAACAGCATCACAACAACACACCTGCAGCGGCAACACAACAGCATCACAACAACACACCTGCAGCGGCAACGCAACAGCATCACAACAACACACCTGCAGCGGCAACACAACAGCATCACAACAACACACCTGCAGCGGCAACGCAACAGCATCACAACAACACACCTGCAGCGACAACACAACACCATCACAACAACACACCTGCAGCGGCAACACAACAGCATCACAACAACACACCTGCAGCGGCAACACAACAGCATCACAACAACACACCTGCAGCGGCAACGCAACAGCATCACAACAACACACCTGCAGCGGCAACACAACAGCATCACAACAACACACCTGCAGCGGCAACGCAACAGCATCACAACAACACACCTGCAGCGACAACACAACACCATCACAACAACACACCTGCAGCGGCAACACAACAGCATCACAACAACACACCTGCAGCGACAACACAACACCATCACAACAACACACCTGCAGCGGCAACACAACACCATCACAACAACACACCTGCAGCGGCAACACAACAGCATCACAACAACACACTGACACAGATTCTGTGTGTGGAAGTGGCTGCCTTTTAAACTGCCCGCTCTGCTCTCAGAGGGTTGGCAGGAGGCGGGTCGGGCTGTGTGATTGGCTGAGGCTCGGGCTGGCAGAGCTGTGTGATTGGCTGAGGCTCGGGCTGGCAGAGCTGTGTGATTGGCTGAGGCTCGGGCTGGCAGAGCTGTGTGATTGGCTGAGGCTCGGGCTGGCAGAGCTGTGTGATTGGCTGAGGCTCGGGCTGGCAGAGCTGTGTGATTGGCTGAGGCTCGGGGCTGGCAGAGCTGTGTGATTGGTTGGCTTGAAAGGAGGAATTTGCACTCGGTCTTTCAGTCTGAATTTGCGCTTCAGCTTCATTAAGCAGGGCCTGGGTAGTACTGTGATGGGAGACCTCTGGGAAAAGCAGGTGCCACAGTGGGTCGGCTGCGGCTGTAAAGTGCCAAACTGTGGTTGTGTCCTTAGGCAAGACACTTCCCCCACTGATAATAATAACAATAATGCTTTTCTGGCCCAGTGTGTGTAACTGTCAGAGCTTTAAAGGTAAAGGTGCACATTATTTATCCCCGTACAGTAATTCAACATCTGCATCTGACGCTGATGCTGCGTCTGTCAGGGGCTGTGGTTGCCGTGGTAACCATCTCCAGATGTGGATTTACCTATTGTACATGAGAGGCGAGAGAGCTAACCACTCAGCCACAGTATGATTGGTCAGTAAATGGCATCATGAAGTCCAAGGAGAGGTTTAAAGCGACCACAGAAGAACAATGACCTTGTGTCCGTCCTGAGCCAGAGGAGCGCAGCCCGTGAAACGACAATCCTGAAAATCTGCACAACGTTTGGAAACAGAGACGCTCAGGCCGGAGCCATCCATCACATGGAGAGAGTAGCAGTATCTGGTCTCTGTGGATACACACAAACACACACATTACACACACATTTACACACAGATACAGAGATACACACATATACACACAGATACAGAGATACACACATATACACACAGAGATACACACATATACACACATTTACACACAGATACAGAGATACAAACATATACACAGAGATACACACAGAGATACACACATATACACACATTTACACACAGATACAGAGATACACACATATACATAGAGATACACACAGATACACAGAGATACACACATATACACACAGAGATACACACATATACACACATTTACACACAGATACAGAGATACAAACATATACACAGAGATACACACATATACACACAGAGATACACACATATACACACATTTACACACAGATACAGAGATACACACATATAAACAGAGATACACACAGATACACAGAGATACACACATATACACACAGAGATACACACAGATACAGAGATACACACATATACACAGAGATACACACATATACACACAAAGATACACACATATACACACATTTACACACAGATACAGAGATACACACATATACACAGAGATACACACAGATACACAGAGATACACACATATGTAAGCAGGCACGTTTTATATTTTTAGTGTGGACTTTTATTGTGTGGTTTTATTTGTTGCATGGACTGTTTTATTGCATGGTTTTATTTGGTTTTATGAGTGTTATTTACTTCACGTTGTGCCTTGCTGCCCCGAGCCACATGAGCCCCAGCAAATGCCTGCACTCACAGCGTAATCAGCGCATCTGCAACTGAGTGAGCATGGGCACATAAGGGCGGACTGGGAGCAGAAAGGCAAGGACACAGGGATACAGAGAGCAGGACACGGGACAGCACGGCACCGGAACCACGACCCGGACCACAGTGATCGCCATCGCCTCACGAGTCCCCAGGGAACACCACGAAGCCGAACCACCGCATGAGGCAGAGGACGCTCTGCCTTCGCGTGTAAGTACCTCAACACATTGAGTAGTGGTGTTCATGTAGTAGCCTTTGGCGGGGGGATTCTGTGGGGTGTATTGGCGTTCTCTGTGTGGTTGTGCTCTGCCTCCAGGGTCCGTGGCACCGCAAGAGACGCATTGTCCCGGGTTGAGCACCGCGAGGCGTAATCCAGACGGCGGCGCTGGTGAGTGTGTGAAAGCAGCGGTGCTCGTGTTTTAGTGGACGAAATGTCGGTGTAGCTTTGCTGTTGGCCTCCACTCCGCTGCCGCTGTGCTTTTGTGCCTGCAGGACCCGAGACGCTGAAGGACCTGGGCTGAACCTGCAGGACCCGAGACGCTGAAGGGACCTGGGCTGAACCTGCAGGACCCGAGACGCTGAAGGGACCTGGGCTGAACCTGCAGGACCCGAGACGCTGAAGGGACCTGGGCTGAGCCTGCAGGACCTGAGACGCTGAAGGGACCTGGGCTGAGCCTGAAGGACCCGAGACGCTGAAGGGACCTGGGCTGAGCCTGCAGGACCTGAGACGCTGAAGGGACCTGGGCTGAGCCTGAAGGACCCGAGACGCTGAAGGGACCTGGGCTGAGCCTGCAGGACCTGAGACGCTGAAGGGACCTGGGCTGAGCCTGAAGGACCCGAGACGCTGAAGGGACCTGGGCTGAGCCTGAAGGACCCGAGACGCTGAAGGGACCTGGGCTGAGCCTGAAGGACCCGAGACGCTGAAGGGACCTGGGCTGAACCTGCAGGACCCGAGACGCTGAAGGGACCTGGGCTGAGCCTGCAGGACCTGAGACGCTGAAGGGACCTGGGCTGAGCCTGAAGGACCCGAGACGCTGAAGGGACCTGGGCTGAGCCTGAAGGACCCGAGACGCTGAAGGGACCTGGGCTGAACCTGCAGGACCCGAGACGCTGAAGGGACCTGGGCTGAGCCTGCAGGACCTGAGACGCTGAAGGGACCTGGGCTGAGCCTGAAGGACCCGAGACGCTGAAGGGACCTGGGCTGTGCCTGCAGGACCCGAGACGCTGAAGGGACCTGGGCTGTGCCTGCAGGACCCGAGACGCTGAAGGGACCTGGGCTGTGCCTGCAGGACCCGAGACGCTGAAGGGACCTGGGCTGTGCCTGCAGGACCCGAGACGCTGAAGGGACCTGGGCTGTGCCTGCAGGACCCGAGACGCTGAAGGGACCTGGGCTGAGCCTGCAGGACCCGAGACGCTGAAGGGACCTGGGCTGAACGAACACGTGTCGGGACTAATTTTAATCCGCTCTTTTTTAAATCGGACATTTTTAACATTTATTGTTTGTAAATAAATTATTTTGTAAACGCATCAGTAGTTTCATTTACTGCAATTACGTGCTCCCCCCAGCTCTCACACATATACACACAGAGATACACACATATACACACATTTACACACAGACACAGAGATGCACAGAGATACACAGAGATACACACATATACACACAGAGATACACACATATACACACATTTACACACAGATACAGAGATACAAACATATACACACATTTACACACAGATACAGAGATACACACATATACACACATTTACACACAGATACAGAGATACATACATATACACACATTTACACACAGATACAGAGATACACACATATACACACATTTACACACAGATACAGAGATACACACATATACACACATTTACACACAGATACAGAGATACAAACATATACACACATTTACACACAGATACAGAGATACACACATATACACACATTTACACACAGATACAGAGATACAAACATATACACACATTTACACACAGATACAGAGATACACACATATACACACATTTACACACAGATACAGAGATACACACAGATACAGAGATACAAACATATACACACATTTACACACAGATACAGAGATACAAACATATACACACATTTACACACAGATACAGAGATACACACATATACACACATTTACACACAGATACAGAGATACACACATTTACACAGAGATACACACATTTACACACAGATACAGAGATACACACATATACACACAGATACAGAGATACACACATATACACACAGAGATACACACATATTCATACACATACACACATAATATATACACAGACACAGACACACACACACACACAGACACACACACCTTGGGGACAGAACAGGTCCGGGGCCCAGCGGTTACACTCGTAGTTGTCTCTGGCCTCTCGACACGTGAAGCATTTAAAGCTCCCGGGGTGAGGAGTCGCTAAAAACACACAACACACAAATATACACAACAGGATGAGGAGTCGCTAAAAACACACAACACACAAATATACACAACAGGATGAGGAGTCGCTAAAAACACACAACACACAAATATACACAACAGGATGAGGAGTCGCTAAAAACACACAACACACAAATATACACAACAGGATGAGGAGTTGCTTAAAAACACACAACAGGATGAGGAGTCGCTAAAAACACACAACACACAAATATACACAACAAGATGAGGAGTCGCTAAAAACACACAACACACAAATATACACAACAGGATGAGGAGTCGCTAAAAACACACAACACACAAATATACACAACAGGATGAGGAGTTGCTAAAAACACACAACAGGATGAGGAGTCGCTAAAAACACACAACACACAAATATACACAACAGGATGAGGAGTCGCTAAAAACACACAACACACAAATATACACAACAGGATGAGGAGTCGCTAAAAACACACAACACACAAATATACACAAAAGGGTGAGGAGTCGCTAAAAACACACAACACACAAATATACACAACAGGATGAGGAGTCGCTAAAAACACACAACACACAAATATACACAACAGGATGAGGAGTCGCTAAAAACACACAACACACAAATATACACAACAGGATGAGGAGTCGCTAAAACACACAACACACAAATAGACACAACGGGATGAGGAGTTGCTAAAAACACACAACACACAAATATACACAACAGGATGAGGAGTCGCTAAAAACACACAACACACAAATATACACAACAGGATGAGGAGTCCTAAAAACACACAACACACAAATATACACAACAGGATGAGGAGTCGCTAAAAACACACAAACATACACAACAGGATGAGGAGTCGCTAAAAACATAAGTATAGACAACAGGGTGAGAGAGACCAGAGACAGGTCCAGAGACAGGTCCAGAGACAGAGACAAGTCCAGAGACAGAGACAGGTCCAGAGACAGGTCCAGAGACAGGTCCAGAGACAGGTCCAGAGACAGGTCCAGAGGAGGTTGTACTTGATGGATGTAAGTGAACGATGTCCTTCGCCGTAAAGTCTCTGGCTTCAGCGTCCTCCGTCCATCGTCCCAGAGCAGACAGCAGCAGGACCCAAGACCCAGGACCCAGGACCCAAGTCCCAGGACCCCGGACCCAGGACCCCGGCCACGACTTCATTCTGCGACACTAAATACAAAAACACATTTAAGTGTTAATATAGTTCTAAATCACAGCGGTAGAACCAGGACTGAGGCTGTAGACCCAGGACTGAGGCTGTAGACCCAGGACTGAGGCTGTAGACCCAAGACTGAGGCTGTAGACCCAGGACTGAGGCTGTAGACCCAGGACTGAGGCTGTAGACCCAAGACTGAGGCTGTAGACCCAGGACTGAGGCTGTAGACCCAGGACTGAGGCTGTAGACCCAGGACTGAGGCTGTAGACCCAGGACTGAGGCTGTAGACCCAGGACTGAGACTGTAGACCCAGGACTGAGACTGTAGACCCAGGACTGAGGCTGTAGACCCAGGACTGAGGCTGTAGACCCAGGACTGAGGCTGTAGACCCAGGACTGAGGCTGTAGACCCAGGACTGAGGCTGTAGACCAGGACTGAGGCTGTAGACCCAGGACTGAGGCTGTAGACCCAGGACTGAGGCTGTAGACCCAGGACTGAGGCTGTAGACCCAGGACTGAGGCTGTAGACCCAGGACTGAGGCTGTAGACCCAGGACTGAGGCTGTAGACCCAGGACTGAGGATGTAGACCCAGGACTGAGGCTGTAGACCCAGGACTGAGGCTGTAGACCCAGGACTGAGGCTGTAGACCCAGGACTGAGGCTGTAGACCCAGGACTGAGGATGTAGACCCAGGACTGAGGCTGTAGACCCAGGACTGAGGCTGTAGACCCAGGACTGAGGATGTAGACCCAGGACTGAGGCTGTAGACCCAGGACTGATCCATAGGTGGCAGTAGAAGCAGAGACTGACACAAAGGGTGTTATTGGGGCATGCATAATGTAAAGAAAACTGTATTTAGCAACACACACAGACAGACATACATACACACACAAACACACACAGACACACACAGACACACACACACAGACACACACACACAGACACACACACACATACACCACACACACAGACACACACACACACTAACGTCGCGGCCCCAGCAGCACATCCAGGTCACGGGGGTTTGTTCTTATTAACTTCATTCATCTCTGTCAGAGGAGGGGGGGGGGGGCACGGCCGGTGGAGGGAACAGCCAACAGCGGGTGTGGAATAGCTTTATATCAATATTGTGTGAAATGATCAGATTGTTACATTCTCTATGAAAGAAAACAATAATAATTCTTTGTTGTAGATTGCTGTGTGTCTGTGTGTGTGTGTGTGTGTGTGTATATGTGTCTGTGTGTGTGTGTGTGTATGTGTGTGTGTGTGTATATGTGTGTGTGTGTGTGTGTGTGTGTGTGTGTGTGTAACCTGTACGATGAATCTTTCTTCTTTAAAATACAAAACAAAAGGACAAAAAAACAAGATGTCTGTTTATATCTGAGTGACCCACAGAAAAAACCCGGTCACCGTTGTTAACGTTTGTAAAAATGTAAAACATTATAATCATTGAGGACATGCTTCTTTCTTTATTCATTTATTCATGTATGTCATAAGTATTTTATTATAATGTTTATTGTCAAAAAAAAAAGACCAACTTTTTTGAAACACTTTAAAAATGTACATTTTTACTGAAAACTCAATAAAAATAAGTTTAAAAAAATAAATAATAAAAATGTTTATTGTCCACTGTCCTTATAAATCCACAACATCTAAAAAGACTGGACACAGACAGAAGAAGCAGACATGAAACATTCCTGAGTGTTTTGAGCTAAACTAAATCCCAGTGTGTTCTTCTGGGTCCTGCCTGTGTGTATTATTGTGTACTATTGTGTATTAGTGTGTATTATTGTGTATTAAGCTGCTCACTCTGGTGCACGGCTCTACTGTAGAAAAGTGAGATTACCTTTGAACCAGAGTCTAGACCAGGACCTCAAGAGCCGGATTAGCCCCAAATCAGAGCCGTTCAATGGGAAGCCTTTTGAAAGCCTCTGTTTTCAATCACAGCCAAAGCAACCTCTCCAGACCCGGGGGTAATTAACTGTTCAGGGCAGGACATTCTCTGAAAAGATGAGAATGGGGCATATACTAGTCCAGGGACATCAGCACTGGCCAGACACGTCCGGAATGAGGTCAAAATATACCATTATTTAGTGTTTTGAAGAATACATTGGTTAAAGATCAAACCAGACAGTAGTTGGTAGTTGATAATGTGTCTTTCTGCACATAACTTGTTTTAAATACTCTCATATACACAAAATAAAGTGTAGTTTTGGATGTAGATCAATGCAGGCGCCTCTCTTTGATCATCCAGACATAAATGATCACAGATCCGATTCTAGTCTCAGTCTGTAATGTCCCACTGAGCAAAACGGAGCTATGTTAACACACAAAGGCAGCAGTAATATCACTCACCTGCTTAAACCTGCTGTTGTGTGGATTTGCAGAATAGAAAACAGTCTCGCGCGGCTTTTTGATCTTCTTTACTCCTTTCAAGTCTGCAGGATGCTGAGCGCTGCTGTGAAGCTCAGAAATGTAAAAATATGCATGTATTCTGACCCGTTTTAGCGTCAAATCACCCCAGCACTAAATTGATTCCAAATGCATCGCAGCGGGACGATATAAAACATTGATTTTTGCATAAAAGGGCACAATAACTAAATAATTCAATATGCGTATTAACCCCGCCTCTACACGTTTCCTGCGCTGTGATTGGCTGCCCAAGTTATCAATTACTTTCGGCTGTCAAAGCGTTTGTTTGGTCAAGTTTTCTGTAACAAGAGCGTTTGTTATTTCAAAATAAAAATCAAATTAAATATAACACGTGTTATTTGAGGCTGTATGTTAAAACATTTATTTAAACATCAGATAACAATAGTTTTACTACGATTACGTACATTTGAAGGATTCAAATGTGGACTAACTGCGTTAGGTTGCGTTTTATTTTGTAAATAGCCGGAAATACAAAGTTAAAATGCCGGAAGCCGGTGCTATCTTTAATCTAACTTGATATAACTCCTGTCTCTTTTTGTCGAGGAAGTTCAGTGATAATGGTGTGATATTAAAGCTGTAGTAACTGGATAATTCCTGAAAACCACTTGTTTGGAGCAGATTAAGACCTGGTCTCAGTAAAAGGTGAGGATAAACGCGCTGAAACTAGCATCAGCTGCTAACTCTGTCATTGTAGCAGGTGCTAAGTGCTAACCACTTGTTTTTACACATTTATTCATTTATTCATTCATATTGTGTTGGCAGCAGCAGCACGTTGTAGATCAGATATTTTAACACACATTAGTGACGTGGATCTTTGCAGTATGTGTTTGTGTGAACGACCAACCTCTTCTACTTCTTTTACCTTCTGACAGCTGCGTCACGTGATTGTTTTACTGGGATTATCTTTAAATGATAGAATAACAATCACTGAAGTGTTTATTGTCTTTTTGACGTAAACACATATTCATCACGTATCACTACATCAGAAGGATCTAAATGTCTTTGAGTTTGTTCAGATAAACTTATGATTATGTAGTGACTTTGTTATTGTCTTGAATATATGGTTTTAGAATAACGTCACAGTTAGAACAGCTGTTTGTGGTCATATCATGTGCTTCTCCTCATTATAGATAACTCATTCATTACAGTCATCCATTCACAACCACAGACCAGACTTTTGCTCACTTCCTCAATGAAAAAGACTATAGACTGCCATTGACGTATATAGACGTCAATCGCTGTTGTTTCGTTTTTTTCTTTCTATGGCTCGTCAAGGCTCTTGTGCATCCTGTGTCAACATTTCAGACCTGTAAACACTTTGGAACCGATCCTGTAGGGGCAGATCCAGGGAGGGAGAAGGGGGCATGTGGTGCTGTGAGCGGGTAACAGCCAGAGGAGCAGCCATGCTTACACAGAGGATCTGAGAAGCTCACGCAACTAACTCTGTTTGAGAGCCTGTTCAGTCACAAACGGATAAATATGAAGCAGCTAGATGCCACAATGCTAGTTCTTCAGGTTTTAGTTAACATGAGACTCCAGGATCCTCGGAGCCTTCCCCCTCCCTCCTCGTCCAGCAGCAGCAGCGGCAGCAGCGGCAGCAGCGGCAGCGGCAGCGGCAGCGGCAGCAGCGGCAGCAGCGGCAGCAGCGGCAGCGGCAGCGGCAGCAGCGGCGGCAGCAGCGGCGGCAGCGGCGGCAGCAGCGGCAGCAGCGGCAGCAGCAGCGGCAGCGGCGGCAGCAGCGGCAGCAGCGGCAGCAGCAGCAGCAGCAGCGGCAGCAGCAGCAGCAGCAGCAGCAGCAGCAGCAGCGGCTCCTCCCCCCGTCGTAATGTGGTAAGTTGCTTTTCACTTCAACATGTTGCATTTACGAGTTTATTTCTCCCCTTTGTCTAATGTACTATCAGCCCCTCCAGGATTTTGCGTGCAATTGATGAATGATTATTGCGGGGTAAAATGCTTGATTACGCGGGACATTTTTCCAAAAGTTTCTCTTGAGTTTGGAGGCGTGTGAGTCTGGCATGCAGCATTAGCTACCAGGGAGCTATGGATGATGTTACCGTGTGGTTTATAGAAGGGACAGGGGGAGGTGATCCATGGCAGACCGGTGAACGAGTTCTACTTACTCATAGATCAAAATGCTTGAAAGTGGGCGTGGCTCAGATATTTTTCACAATAAAAGTCCTCTGCCTCTGCGGGATGTCCAAAGTTCGAAATACAGACACATTTCACGTAGTGTTTCTGAGGAAGGATAGCTATTAGATATAATCAACGTAAAGTCAGACCTGTTGTTGCTGTTCCAAATACTGTCTGTGCCTCGGAACTGTTTCCCACTACACTGACCTGAACAGCTGCAAGGTGCGCAGGTTAACCTGGAGCTGTGGTGTTTTCATTCACTAAACATGGTCACAACAGCAATGTAGTAGTAAGTAAGTAGTAAGTAATCTTTATTTATATACCGCCTTTTCACTGCAGATCTTAGTCTCAAAGCGGTTTACAATTGTTAATGTACAAACACATGCTCATCGCCTGCTCTCACACACTGTTCTCATAGACTACAGTCATAAGAAATGTTGATTTAGAAAATTAATGTGACTAATAATGAGCATGCAACTGTGACAGGACGAACGTGTGTAAAACATGACAGCAGCAAGAGGTTGTCACTGAAAGACGACAGCAGACGGTGAAACACATGTTGTATTTGTAAAGTGGGCTAGATCCACCTGCGTGTCTGCGTACGCTCACCCCGCTACATCTTTGAAATGCGCTGCTTTCGTGGCGATATCATGACTCTTCGTGTGCCCTACTGCTTATTTAACATGTCCTAATGCTAACGTTGCTCTGGACCTGGCCCCGAGTTTATACATGGCTATTGTGAGCGCCTTTGGTGAGTGGACCCCTGTCCCACCTCAGCTCCAGGGTCACTTGCAGACCTTGCAGCTGCTCAGGTCAGTGTTGTGGGACGCTGTTGCCATTCACTAAGTCATTAGAAATGTTGTTCAGGTTATACTCCCCACAAATGAACAACTTTGACAATAAACTGTGACGGAGCAGCGCGTTTAAAACATGTAAGAGAAATGCAGCGGAGACGTTAATCTGCCGCTGTCCACCGCACCGCATTGGGTTCAATGGATTTCTCTGCATTAAAACAGCGCATTGGATTTTAAAAATCGATGTTGTAGTAGTTAGCCCATGTAGAGGTGATCATTTTGGCACAATTACTTTCGTTTAACAACGTAGCTTTCGTGAGATATTCACCGCGGAAGTCCGAATCTGTGAATATCTAGCTAACTTTACCGGTGAGCAGGTCCCATGATGAGCAACAAGTGTTAGATTTACCGCACCATGTGCATTCTGCTGCGGTGCGTCTCACTGTGGAGGGTGCGTCTCACTGTGGGGGGTGCGTCTCACTGTGGGGGGTGCGTCTCACTGTGGGGGGTGCGTCTCACTGTGGGGGGTGCGTCTCACTGTGGGGGGTGCGTCTCACTGTGGGGGGTGCGTCTCACTGTGGGGGGTGCGTCTCACTGTGGGGGTGCGTCTCACTGTGGGGGGTGCGTCTCACTGTGGGGGTGCGTCTCACTGTGGGGGTGCGTCTCACTGGGGGGTGCGTCTCACTGTGGGGGTGCGTCTCACTGGGGGTGCGTCTCACTGTGGGGGTGCGTCTCACTGTGGGGGGTGCGTCTCACTGTGTGGGGGTCGTCTCACTGTGGGGTGTCGTCTCACTGTGGGGGTGCTCACTGTGGGGGTGCGTCTCACTGTGGGGGTGCGTCTCACTGTGGAGGGTGCGTCTCACTGTGGGGGTGCGTCTCACTGTGGGGGGTGCGTCTCACTGTGGAGGGTGCGTCTCACTGTGGAGGGTGCGTCTCACTGTGGAGGGTGCGTCTCACTGTGGAGGGTGCGTCTCACTGTGGAGGGTGCGTCTCACTGTGGAGGGTGCGTCTCACTGTGGAGGGTGCGTCTCACTGTGGGGGGTGCGTCTCACTGTGGGGGGTGCGTCTCACTGTGGGGGGTGCGTCTCACTGTGGGGGGTGCGTCTCACTGTGGAGGGTGCGTCTCACTGTGGAGGGTGCGTCTCACTGTGGGGGTGCGTCTCACTGTGGGGGGTGCGTCTCACTGTGGAGGGTGCGTCTCACTGTGGGGGGTGCGTCTCACTGTGGGGGGTGCGTCTCACTGTGGGGGTGCGTCTCACTGTGGAGGGTGCGTCTCACTGTGGAGGGTGCGTCTCACTGTGGAGGGTGCGTCTCACTGTGGAGGGTGCGTCTCACTGTGGAGGGTGCGTCTCACTGTGGAGGGTGCGTCTCACTGTGGAGGGTGCGTCTCACTGTGGGGGTGCGTCTCACTGTGGGGGGTGCGTCTCACTGTGGGGGGTGCGTCTCACTGTGGGGGGTGCGTCTCACTGTGGAGGGTGCGTCTCACTGTGGAGGGTGCGTCTCACTGTGGAGGGTGCGTCTCACTGTGGAGGGTGCGTCTCACTGTGGAGGGTGCGTCTCACTGTGGGGGGTGCGTCTCACTGTGGAGGGTGCGTCTCACTGTGGAGGGTGCGTCTCACTGTGGAGGGTGCGTCTCACTGTGGGGGGTGCGTCTCACTGTGGGTGCGTCTCACTGTGGAGGGTGCGTCTCACTGTGGAGGGTGCGTCTCACTGTGGAGGGTGCGTCTCACTGTGGGGGTGCGTCTCACTGTGGAGGGTGCGTCTCACTGTGGAGGGTGCGTCTCACTGTGGGGGGTGCGTCTCACTGTGGGGGGTGCGTCTCACTGTGGGGGTGCGTCTCACTGTGGGGGGTGCGTCTCACTGTGGGGGGTGCGTCTCACTGTGGGGGGTGCGTCTCACTGTGGGGGGTGCGTCTCACTGTGGAGGGTGCGTCTCACTGTGGGGGGTGCGTCTCACTGTGGAGGGTGCGTCTCACTGTGGGGGGTGCGTCTCACTGTGGGGGGTGCGTCTCACTGTGGAGGGTGCGTCTCACTGTGGAGGGTGCGTCTCACTGTGGGGGGTGCGTCTCACTGTGGGGGGTGCGTCTCACTGTGGAGGGTGCGTCTCACTGTGGGGGGTGCGTCTCACTGTGGAGGGTGCGTCTCACTGTGGAGGGTGCGTCTCACTGTGGAGGGTGCGTCTCACTGTGGGGGGTGCGTCTCACTGTGGGGGGTGCGTCAGGAGCGCGCCCGCTGCTGCTTTGGAACAGAGAGAGACTGACTGTTGCTCTGATCCCAGAGTCTGTGTGGTTTTGCGTTCAAACATTGAGAGATTCTGGAGGGAGTGACTATAGCAATCACTGGCTTATACTATAGTCAAAATAAACAGCGAGTATTGAAGAGTTTTTTTAATCTCAATGTCATAGCTGCTGAAGCCAAAACACTTGTTATAATGTGAAAATGTATGGTGATTTTATATTTTTCTGTGTGTTGTAGATTGTTGACCCCAGGACCCCAAAATGCTGCATCAGAGCTTGGATCAGCAGCTGACTTCTGCAGCTGTTCATAACTGATGAACTGCTGGATCCTGGATCTTGTTGTCGAACAGACAAAGCTGTATGCAGCACAATATTTCAGTGCACACACACAGCGTCTCCCATTCAGCAGAGAAAATGCATGAAGCCAGTGACAGTCTAGCAGCTAAAAACCTTTTTGGTTTGACATTTCTCACTGGGTTTGTAAAAAAAAAATTAATCTGGAAATGTATTGGGAGTGTGGAGGAAGTAGATTCCACACTTCAGCAGAGTGTGGGGTCACCCAATTACTATTTTTTATAAACTAAAGTAAAATTGTTTCACAAAGTGTTCAGAAAGTGTTATTTTTACTGTATATTTGTGTACAAAGTGTTTTTATTGTATACAAGTTGAATATTGTATGTGTACATAAGACAATCCTTTGAGTGTATTGTGTGTACACGTTTAATTTGTTTAAAAATAAAAATACAATTCAAAGTATTGTTTCTGTTTTGTGTCATAGTAAGAAACTGTCATACATTGAAAATATCAGTAAAGACCAAAAAAACCCACTTTTCTGCTTGAAAATGCGCGTTTCACAAAAAGGCTGTTTTCTCCAAATCTTGGTCAGGAAACAGCATTTTGTGTGAAAGTTACCTATGTTGCACTCTCAATTGCTAAAAAACTAAAAGGGTTAGAAACTTACTTTTTTTAAAAATGAAAGCCAAGGGATAGAGCTTTTATTTGGTATGTTTCATACTTGTGTCAACCAAGGGCTCACATTTCTATGCGGTTCGGAAAAACACTAAAAATGTCCAAAATCTCTGGCAGTATGAGGGATGCTGCTTTTTAAATGAGTTAAACATAAACTCCTCTGTTTCCCACGATTGTGTTGTTGTCATTATTATTATTATGTTGCTCTGTTCAGCTGCTAAATCCAATTATTTGTTTAAATAACTTCAACATATAAAATCTATATATTTATTACTGAGTTCTTTAAGCACATTATACGTTTATGTATATGGCACAGAATCAGTAACTTTCAAATGGCTTTGTTGACTCAATATTATCTTTAGATCCATGGCCACACAGTCTGTAAATAACCCTTACAGGTTTAACAGTGTCTGATAAAGTATTGTTCTGTTTTTAGGATGTCTGTGGTGGAGACGCTGCTGAGTTTCCTGTCTGTGGTCGCAGCTGTAGCCACAGAGGCAGCTCCTCCTCTTCCTCCTCTTCCTCCTCCTCCTCCGCTGCTGCTCGTCTCCTTTGACGGTTTTCGGGCCGATTACCTGAAACGGTTCCCGATGCCGAACTTGCAGAGTCTGTACCGACAGGGCGTCCTGGTGGAGCAGATGACCAACGTCTTCGTCACCAAAACGTTCCCAAACCACTACAGTCTGGTAAAGCTCCTCTCTGCTCTCTGATGGTGCGATACAAATAAACCTGCTTTGGCTCTAACACCGAGGCCTGAGGCTGAGCCCGGGTTAAAGGTCCAGATTATTATGAATTATCACAACATTAGAAGTGTCCATAACTTTATTCCAGTAAATGAGTAAATGATTCTGTCTTCTTTAAAGTCTTGTGTGGGTGAGTAGAGTTTGCTTGTTCTCCCTGTGTCTGCAAAGGAGACAAGGGAAGAGCCAAGAGTGAAGGAGAAGTTTTAAATACAGTAAAAACATCTCCCACTGATCATCTGCTGAATACACTACAAAACATGATACAATATGAGGTAATAACTGCTGTAATCCAGTGTTTTTATCTTAATCTGACACATTCTGTGTTAAAATAAGATTCTCCAATGGGACCAGAGAGAGACCAGAGAGAGAGAGACCAGAGAGAGAGACCAGAGAGAGAGACCAGCGAGAGAGACCAGAGAGAGAGAGACCAGAGAGAGAGACCAGAGAGAGACCAGAGAGAGAGACCAGAGAGAGAGACCAGAGAGAGAGACCAGCGAGAGAGACCAGAGAGAGAGAGACCAGAGAGAGAGACCAGAGAGAGACCAGAGAGAGACCAGAGAGAGAGACCAGAGAGAGAGACCAGAGAGAGAGACCAGAGAGAGAGACCAGAGAGAGAGAGACCAGAGAGAGAGAGACCAGAGAGAGAGAGACCAGAGAGAGAGAGACCAGAGAGAGAGAGACCAGAGAGAGAGAGACCAGAGAGAGAGAGACCAGAGAGAGAGAGACCAGAGAGAGAGAGACCAGAGAGAGAGAGACCAGAGAGAGAGAGACCAGAGAGAGAGAGACCAGAGAGAGAGAGACCAGAGAGAGAGAGACCAGAGAGAGAGAGACCAGAGAGAGAGAGACCAGAGAGAGAGACCAGAGAGAGAGACCAGAGAGAGAGACCAGAGAGAGAGAGACCAGAGAGAGAGAGACCAGAGAGAGAGAGACCAGAGAGAGAGAGAGACCAGAGAGAGAGAGAGACCAGAGAGAGAGAGAGACCAGAGAGAGAGAGACCAGAGAGAGAGAGACCAGAGAGAGAGAGACCAGAGAGAGAGACCAGAGAGAGAGACCAGAGAGAGAGAGAGACCAGAGAGAGAGAGACCCGAGAGAGAGAGACCAGAGAGAGAGAGACCCTAAGGAAATATGGATTAATGTTCTGCTTTATACTGGATTTATGTAAATGTATTTTATTCTGTGTGTGTGTGTGTCTGTGTCTCTGTGTGTGTGTCTGTCTGTCTGTGTGTGTCTCTGTGTGTGTGTGTGTGTCTGTGTGTGTCTGTCTCTGTGTGTGTGTCTGTCTGTGTGTGTCTGTCTGTGTGTGTCTCTGTGTGTGTGTCTCTGTGTGTCTGTGTGTGTTTGTGTGTGTGTCTGTGTGTGTCTCTGTGTGTTTGTGTGTGTCTCTGTGTGTCTGTGTGTGTTTGTGTGTGTCTTTGTGTGTGTGTCTGTATGTGTCTCTGTGTGTGTCTCTGTGTGTGTCTCTGTGTGTGTGTCTGTGTGTGTTTCTGTGTGTGTGTCTGTGTGTGTCTGTGTGTGTCTCTGTGTGTGTGTCTGTGTGTGTCTGTGTGTGTCTCTGTGTGTCTGTGTGTGTTTGTGTGTGTCTCTGTGTGTGTTTGTGTGTGTCTCTGTGTGTGTCTGTGTGTGTCTCTGTGCGTGTGTCTGTGTGTGTCTCTGTGTGTGTCTCTGTGTGTGTCTCTGTGTGTGTCTCTGTGTCTGTGTCTGTGTGTGTCTGTGTGTGTGTCTCTGTGTGTGTGTCTGTGTGTGTGTCTGTGTGTGTGTCTGTGTGTGTGTCTGTGTGTGTGTCTGTGTGTGTCTCTGTGTGGGTCTCTGTGTGTGTCTCTGTGTGTGTGTCTGTGTGTGTCTGTGTGTCTCTGTGTGTGTGTCTGTGTGTGTCTCTGTGTGTGTGTCTGTGTGTGTCTGTGTGTGTGTCTCTGTGTGTGTCTCTGTGTGTGTGTCTGTGTGTGTCTCTGTGTGTCTCTGTGTGTGTCTGTGTGTGTCTGTGTGTGTGTCTGTGTGTGTCTGTGTGTGTCTGTGTGTGTCTGTGTGTGTTTGTGTGTGTCTCTGTGTGTGTCTCTGTGTGTGTCTCTGTGTGTGTGTCTGTGTGTGTCTGTGTGTGTGTCTGTGTGTGTCTGTGTGTGTCTGTGTGTGTCTGTGTGTGTGTCTGTGTGTGTCTGTGTGTGTCTGTGTGTGTCTGTGTGTGTCTCTGTGTGTGTGTCTGTGTGTGTCTGTGTGTGTCTGTGTGTGTCTGTGTGTGTGTCTGTGTGTGTAGGTGACCGGTCTGTACGCAGAGTCCCACGGCATCATGGCCAGTAACATGTACGACCCCGACACCAAACAGTACTTCCACATTTCGAACAACAGCGACCCCGTGTGGTGGAACGAGGCAGAGCCGCTCTGGATCACAGCCCTGGACTCGGGCTTCAAGACGGCGGCCGTGATGTGGCCCGGCGCGGACGTTCGGATCCACAACCGCACCGCCACCCACCTCTTCCAGTACGACCGCAGGATGAGCTTCAGGGAGAGGCTGGGGAACGTGACGCAGTGGCTGATGGGAGACGGCCAGGTCTGGCTCTTCTTCATCTACCTCTGTCTTAGTCCCTCTCCTCTGTAGAGCAAGCAGGTAGTAGTGATGATAGTGTGTGTGTGTGCGTGTGTGTCATTGACAGTTGTGTGTTTGTGGGTTCTGAGTCTGTGTATTGTGTGTGAACAGATGGGAGGGGATTGGATTATAACTTTTTGCTTCGATCGATCCCTTTTCAAACCATGCACAGGTTTTCTTGTTTTCTCCAATCTTATTTTGAAAAATTGTATTTTATTAATTAATAAATAAAAAAACAAAAGAATAAAGAAATAAACAAGACATGAATCTAAAATAAATGGTGGCGTGTCTGCAGTTTGGAACAGGTGGGTTTTGATGTGATACTGTTTTTTAAAAGTGTTTCGTGGCTTCAGGAAGAAGGGGTGAAGTTCGCGGCCCTTTACTGGGAGCAGCCGGACGCCGCGGGACACAAGTACGGACCTGACAACACCTCCATGATGGCCCGGACTCTGCAGGAGGTGAGGCCCACGGGCTGTACCAGTTTATTCATGATATTTCATGTTATTATGTGACTTGGATCGTTCGCGCGCTCTAATTGGCTGATTTGCGGTCTGATATTTTCCCATCTCGGACCGTTACCATGACAACTGAGCCGCAGCGCGTATCACATTTGATATCTTTCCTCGGTGAATTCTATTATCCGGACGAGTTGGAAGAGCCAGAGGAAGTAATAACAGCAAATAACGACGAAAACACAACTCCAACTGTCAAGAAGAGATCGACAACTTGGTTACAGACCAGAAAGGTCAAAACCATAGACTGTAAATATGAACGGACAGAGTCACGCCTATCTCCACCGTTCAAACTAATGGGCCAAAAAATGTGCTCTACTGGAGCTATCCAAAATGGCCGCGACTGATCCCGCCCACAAGAAAATTGTGAAAAACACATCTGTGCATGCGTCAGTCGTTCATTTAAACGAGAGACTTCTAAAGTCCACAGCGACTAAACTAGACTGGTCCAGAACACTCAGCTGATGCTATATGTTAGCATTGGCAAATTCTTATTCCGGGTCCACCCCCACAGGCCCGGGGTGGTACTGCAGCATGTCAGGGTCCACCCCGGGCCTGTGGGGGTGGACCCTGACATGCTGCAGTACCACCCCGGGCCTGTGGGGGTGGACCCTGACATGCTGCAGTACCACCCCGGGCCTGTGGGGGTGGACCCTGACATGCTGCAGTACCACCCCGGGCCTGTGGGGGTGGACCCTGACATGCTGCAGTACCACCCCAGGCCTGTGGGGGTGGACCCTGACATGCTGCAGTACCACCCCGGGCCTGTGGGGGTGGACCCTGACATGCTGCAGTACCACCCCGGGCCTGTGGGGGTGGACCCTGACATGCTGCAGTACCACCCCGGGCCTGTGGGGGTGGACCCTGACATGCTGCAGTACCACCCCGGGCCTGTGGGGGTGGACCCTGACATGCTGCAGTACCACCCCGGGCCTGTGGGGGTGGACCCTGACATGCTGCAGTACCACCCCGGGCCTGTGGGGGTGGACCCTGACATGCTGCAATACCACCCCGGGCCTGTGGGGGTGGACCCTGACATGCTGCAGTACCACCCCGGGCCTGTGGGGGTGGACCCTGACATGCTGCAGTACCACCCCGGGCCTGTGGGGGTGGACCCTGACATGCTGCAGTACCACCCCGGGCCTGTGGGGGTGGACCCTGACATGCTGCAGTACCACCCCAGGCCTGTGGGGGTGGACCCTGACATGCTGCAGTACCACCCCGGGCCTGTGGGGGTGGACCCTGACATGCTGCAGTACCACCCCGGGCCTGTGGGGGTGGACCCTGACATGCTGCAGTACCACCCCGGGCCTGTGGGGGTGGACCCTGACATGCTGCAGTACCACCCCGGGCCTGTGGGGGTGGACCCTGACATGCTGCAGTACCACCCCGGGCCTGTGGGGGTGGACCCGGAATAAGAATTTGCCAATGCTAACATATAGCATCAGCTGAGTGTTCTGGACCAGTCTAGTTTAGTCTTTTTGTACAGACCTCGCGCTCATTTAATAAGTCGTTAATATTATGAGTTCACAGCTCCTTCTCTGCTCCTCCTCTGCTCCTTCTCTGCTCCTCCTCTGCTCCTTCTCTGCTCCTCCTCTGCTCCTTCTCTGCTCCTCCTCTGCACCTCCTCTGCGCCTCCTCTGCTCCTCCTCTGCGCCTCCTCTGTGCCTCCTCTGCTCCTCCTCTGTGCCTCCTCTGCGCCTCCTCTGCTCCTCCTCTGCACCTCCTCTGCGCCTCCTCTGCGCCTCCTCTGTGCCTCCTCTGCTCCTCCTCTGTGCCTCCTCTGCTCCTCCTCTGCTCCTTCTCTGCTCCTCCTCTGCTTCTCCTCTGCTCCTTCTCTGCACCTCCTCTGCTCCTTCTCTGCTCCTCCTCTGCTTCTCCTCTGCTCCTTCTCTGCTCCTCCTCTGCTTCTCCTCTGCACCTCCTCTGCTCCTCCTCTGCTCCTCCTCTGTGCCTCCTCTGCTCCTCCTCTGCTCCTCCTCTGTGCCTCCTCTGCTCCTCCTCTGCTCCTCCTCTGCTCCTCCTCTGCTCCTCCTCTGTGCCTCCTCTGCACCTCCTCTGCTCCTCCTCTGCTTCTCCTCTGCACCTCCTCTCCTCCTCCTCTGCTCCTCCTCTTCTCCCCCTCTGCTCCCCCTCTGATCCCCCTCTGCTCCCCCTCTCCTCCTCCTCTGCTCCTCCTCTGCTCCTCCTCTGCTCCTCCTCTGCTCCTTCTCTGCTCCTTCTCTGCTCCTCCTCTGCTCCCCCTCTGCTCCCCCTCTGCTCCTCCTCTGCTCCCCCTCTGCCCCTCCTCTGTGCCTCCTCTGCTCCTCTTCTGCTCCTCTGTGCCTCCTCTGCTCCTCCTCTGCTCCTCCTCTCTGCTCCTCCTCTGCTCCTCCTCTGCTCCTCCTCTGCTCCTCCTCTGTGCCTCCTCTGCTCCTCCTCTGCTCCTCCTCTGCTCCTCCTCTGCTCCTCCTCTGCGCCTCCTCTGCTCCTCTGCTCCTTCTCTGCTCCTCCTCTGCTCCTCCTCTGCTCCTCCTCTGTGCCTCCTCTGCTCCTCCTCTGCCCCTCCTCTGCTCCTCCTCTGTGCCTCCTCTGCTCCTCCTCTGCTCCCCCTCTGCTCCTCCTCTTCTCCTCCTCTGCTCCCCCTCTTCTCCTCCTCTGCTCCCCCCTCTGCTCCTCCTCTTCTCCCCCTCTGCTCCCCCTCTTCTCCTCCTCTGCTCCCCCTCTTCTCCTCCTCTGCTCCCCCTCTTCTCGTCCTCTGCTCCCCCTCTTCTCCTCCTCTGCTCCTCCTCTGCTCCTCCTCTGCCCCTCCTCTGCTCCCCCTCTTCTCCTCCTCTGCTCCCCCTCTTCTCCCCCTCTGCTCCTCCTCTTCTCCCTCTCTGCTCCTCCTCTTCTCCCCCTCTGCTCCCCCTCTGATCCCCCTCTGCTCCCCCTCTTCTCCTCCTCTGCCCCTCCTCTGCTCCTCCTCTGCCCCTCCTCTGCTCCCCCTCTTCTCCTCCTCTGCTCCCCCTCTTCTCCCCCTCTGCTCCTCCTCTTCTCCCCCTCTGCTCCTCCTCTTCTCCCCCTCTGCTCCCCCTCTGATCCCCCTCTGCTCCCCCTCTCCTCCTCCTCTGCCCCTCCTCTGCTCTCCCTCTGCTCTCCCTCTGCTCCACCTCTGCTCCTCCTCTGCTCCCCCTCTGCTCCTCCTCTGCCCCTCCTCTGCTCTCCCTCTGCTCCCCCTCTGCCCCTCCTCTGCTCCTCCTCTGCGCCTCCTCTGCTCCCCCTCTCCTCCTCCTCTGCCCCTCCTCTGCTCTCCCTCTGCTCCCCCTCTGCTCCTCCTCTGCTCCTCCTCTGCGCCTCCTCTGCTCCCCCTCTCCTCCTCCTCTGCCCCTCCTCTGCTCTCCCTCTGCTCTCCCTCTGCTCCTCCTCTGCTCCTCCTCTGCTTCCCCTCTGCTCCTCCTCTGCTCCTCCTCTGCTCCTCCTCTGCTCCCCCTCTGCTCCTCCTCTGCTCCTCCTCTGCTCCTCCTCTGCGCCTCCTCTGCAGGTGGACGATGACGTTGGGTTGTTGGTGTCGGAGCTGAAGAGAGTGGGACTTTGGGGTCAGATAAACGTGATCGTGACGAGTGACCACGGCATGGCCCAGTGCAGCCCGGACCGGCTCATCCGCCTGGACCAGTGCCTGAGCCCGGACCTCTACACGCTGGTGGACCTCACTCCGGTCGCAGCACTCATCCCAAAACAAGGTCCAGGACTCAGACCACAGACCTGGGACTCGGACCACAGACCTGGGACTCGGACCACAGACCTGGGACTCGGACCACAGACCTGGGACTCGGACCACAGACCTAGGACTCGGACCACAGACCTGGGACTCAGACCACAGACCTGGGACTCAGTCAGACCACAGACCTGGGACTCAGTCAGACCACAGACCTGGGACTCAGTCAGACCACAGACCTGGGACTCAGACCACAGACCTGGGACTCAGTCAGACCACAGACCTGGGACTCAGACCACAGACCTGGGACTCAGTCAGACCACAGACCTGGGACTCAGACCACAGACCTGGGACTCAGTCAGACCACAGACCTGGGACTCAGTCAGACCACAGACCTGGGACTCAGTCAGACCACAGACCTGGGACTCAGTCAGACCACAGACCTGGGACTCAGTCAGACCACAGACCTGCTGAATCATGTTTCCTTTTGCTGAATCATGTTTCCTTTTGCTGAATCATGTTTCCTTTTGGCAGACGCCGCCGCGGTCTTCGACTCGCTGAAGAGCTGCCACCCGCACATGACGGCGTTTCTGAAGGCGTCCATCCCGGAGCGTCTGCATTACCAGAACAACCACCGCGTTCAGCCCGTGCTGCTCATGGCCGACGAAGGATGGACCATCGTCACCAGCGGCAACACCCTGCCCAGACGTACGCTAATGCTAATGCTAATGCTAATGCTAATGAGAGAGACCAGAGAGACCAGAGAGAGACCAGAGAGAGAGACCAGAGAGAGAGACCAGAGAGAGAGACCAGAGAGAGAGACCAGAGAGAGAGACCAGAGAGAGAGACCAGAGAGAGAGACCAGAGAGAGACCAGAGAGAGAGACCAGAGAGAGAGACCAGAGAGAGAGACCAGAGAGAGAGACCAGAGAGAGAGACCAGAGAGAGAGACCAGAGAGAGAGACCAGAGAGAGAGACCAGAGAGAGAGACCAGAGAGAGAGACCAGAGAGAGAGACCAGAGAGAGACCAGAGAGAGAGACCAGAGAGAGAGACCAGAGAGAGAGACCAGAGAGAGAGACCAGAGAGAGAGACCAGAGAGAGAGACCAGAGAGAGAGACCAGAGGGAGACCAGAGGGAGAGACCAGAGGGAGAGACCAGAGAGAGAGACCAGAGGGAGAGACCAGAGGGAGAGACCAGAGAGAGACCAGAGAGAGACCATAGGGAGACCAGAGGGAGACCAGAGGGAGACCAGAGGGAGACCAGAGGGAGACCAGAGGGAGAGTAGAGAGAGACCAGAGAGAAACCAGAGAGACCAGAGAGACCAGAGGGAGACCAGAGGGAGACCAGAGGGAGACCAGAGGGAGACCAGAGAGAGAGACCAGAGAGAGAGACCAGAGAGAGACCAGAGAGAGAGACCAGAGAGAGAGACCAGAGAGAGAGACCAGAGAGAGAGACCAGAGAGAGAGACCAGAGAGAGAGACCAGAGGGAGAGACCAGAGGGAGAGACCAGAGAGAGACCAGATACATAGATTTGACTCATACATAACGGTCATCTGTCTCAGTGGGTGACCACGGCTACGACAGCTCCTTACCCAGCATGCACCCCTTCCTGGCTGCGGTGGGGCCCAGCTTCCGTCAGGGTTATCGCCTCAGCTCCATCCAGAGCGTGGACGTCTACCCTCTGATGTGCCGCCTCCTGGGGATCGAGGGGAGGCCCAACAACGGCTCCCTCAGCCACACCCGCTGCCTGCTGGCCCAGGAGAGCTGCTGGGAGACCCCCCGTGTGGTGGGGCTGGTGGTGGGGGTCCTGCTGGTGCTCGCCACGGTCACCGGTGAGTCCCACACGGCTGTAGACCCAGGACTGAGGCTGTACACCCAGGACCGAGGCTGTAGATCCAGGACTGAGGCTGTAGACCCAGGACTGAGGCTGTAGACCCAGGACTTAGGCTGTAGACCCAGGACTGAGGCTGTGGACCCAGGACTGAGGCTGTAGACCCAGGACCGAGGCTGTAGACCCAGGACCGAGGCTGTAGACCCAGGACCGAGGCTGTAGACCCAGGACTGAGGCTGTACACCCAGGACCGAGGCTGTAGACCCAGGACTGAGGCCGTAGACCCAGGACTGAGGCTGTAGTAGACCCAGGACTGAGGCCGTAGACCCAGGACTGAGGCCGTAGACCCAGGACCGAGGCTGTAGACCCAGGACCGAGGCTGTAGACCCAGGACCGAGGCTGTAGACCCAGGACCGAGGTTGTGGACCCAGGACTGAGGCTGTAGACCCAGGACTGAGGCTGTAGACCCAGGACCGAGGCTGTAGACCCAGGACCGAGGCTGTAGACCCAGGACTGAGGCTGTAGATCCAGGACTGAGGTTGTGGACCCAGGACTGAGGCTGTAGACCCAGGACTGAGGCTGTAGACCCAGGACTGAGGCTGTAGACCCAGGACTGAGGCTGTAGACCCAGGACTGAGGCTGTAGACCCAGGACTGAGGCTGTAGACCCAGGACTGAGGCTGTAGACCCAGGACTGAGGTTGTGGACCCAGGACTGAGGCTGTAGATCCAGGACTGAGGTTGTGGACCCAGGACTGAGGCTGTAGACCCAGGACTGAGGCTGTAGACCCAGGACTGAGGCTGTAGACCCAGGACCGAGGTTGTGGACCCAGGACTGAGGCTGTAGACCCAGGACCGAGGTTGTGGACCCAGGACTGAGGCTGTAGACCCAGGACTGAGGCTGTAGGCCCAGGACTGAGGCTGTAGACCCAGGACCGAGGCTGTAGACCCAGGACTGAGGCTGTAGACCCAGGACTTCGTAGAGTCCTGGTCCTGATTTAGAATAAAGTAAGCAGAGATGAGAGGATTTGTCAATATTCCTCTGAGCTTCTTTGTTTCTCCTAAATTCTAAACGCTGCATCTTTAACTTTAATGTTAAAGATAAATCTAAATTCTAAGTCCTGTTTTCTGTCGACAGTTTTGGTCACACTCCTGGTTTTCAAAGTCCGATCTGGTAAACATGCTCCGGACTAAGTAGGTCCTGGTTTGTTTGCTCCTGGAAAAATCTGATGGTGGAGGTTGGACAGGTCTGTCCCAGGGCATGTGCGGCTACAGTCTGTCCCAGGGCAGGTGCGGCTACAGTCTGTCCCAGGGCAGGTGCGGCTACAGTCTGTACGTCTGTCCCAGGGCAGGTGCGACTACAGTCTGTCCCAGGGCAGGTGCGGCTACAGTCTGTACGTCTGTCCCAGGGCAGGTGTGGCTACAGTCTGTCCCAGGGCAGGTGCGGCTACAGTCTGTACGTCTGTCCCAGGGCAGGTGCGGCTACAGTCTGTCCCAGGGCAGGTGCGGCTACAGTCTGTGCGTCTGTCCCAGGGCAGGTGTGGCTACAGTCTGTGCGTCTGTCCCAGGGCAGGTGTGGCTACAGTCTGTGTGTCTGTCCCAGGGCAGGTGTGGCTACAGTCTGTGTGTCTGTCCCAGGGCAGGTGTGGCTACAGTCTGTGTGTCTGTCCCAGGGCAGGTGCGGCTACAGTCTGTGTGTCTGTCCCAGGGCAGGTGTGGCTACAGTCTGTAAGTCTGTCCCAGGGCAGGTGCGGCTACAGTCTGTCCCAGGGAAGGTGCGGCTACAGTCTGTCCCAGGGCAGGTGTGGCTACAGTCTGTGTGTCTGTCCCAGGGCAGGTGTGGCTACAGTCTGTGTGTCTGTCCCAGGGCAGGTGTGGCTACAGTCTGTGTGTCTGTCCCAGGGCAGGTGTGGCTACAGTCTGTGTGTCTGTCCCAGGGCAGGTGTGGCTACAGTCTGTGTGTCTGTCCCAGGGCAGGTGTGGCTACAGTCTGTGCGTCTGTCCCAGGGCAGGTGTGGCTACAGTCTGTGTGTCTGTCCCAGGGCAGGTGTGGCTACAGTCTGTAAGTCTGTCCCAGGGCAGGTGCGGCTACAGTCTGCACGTCTGTCCCAGGGCAGGTGTGGCTACAGTCTGTGTGTCTGTCCCAGGGCAGGTGCGGCTACAGTCTGTGCGTCTGTCCCAGGGCAGGTGTGGCTACAGTCTGTGTGTCTGTCCCAGGGCAGGTGTGGCTACAGTCTGCACGTCTGTCCCAGGGCAGGTGCGGCTACAGTCTGTGCAGTGAATAACACACAACTGCACACGGCTGAAAAAACTCTTCTGTGATTAAAAAAGAACTCTGTGTTTTTCCTTCATCTTTCTGACTGATGATAAATAATCTGCTCTAAAACTGATATTATGTTATAATCTGCTCTTCCTCAGCTCTTTTCGCGTTCTTTGGCTGGAAGCGTCCGCGCTCAGTCCCTGATTTCCAAAGGCTGGACGTTGAAGACAGCGACAACCCACTGTTGGAATAACTATAATTCTCACGGGTACGAAAAGCCACAGGTACAAAGCCAGCTGCACTTTACCTCAGGTCTGACTCTGGAGACTGTACTTCCTACGCCTTTGTAAGAACTGATATTTATTATGATTCAAGGATGTTTTTATGAGGAATCCACATTTTACTGCTGCTTGTGATTCTCCTGGTTGTTACTTGCTTGGTTTGCTAAGGGAGACTTACACATATTTCCATACAGAGCTTAGATAATGATTCTTTATAGCTGCTGTTCGTGACGCGACCAGCAGAGGGCGCCAAACATCAGACTTTTCAGATCTCTCAAAACGTTACATAGAATTATAGCTTCATTCTCGGCTCAAAAATGGGTTTTTTCTTATTTAAAACCAAAGGCACGTCCATGGTCTGAGGAGAGTCGGACCCAAAAGGGAGTTTGAACCATATTTTAATGTCTGTAAATATATTTTCGTCCTGTTTCATTAGAAAAAGGGTTTTACTGGTGCTTCAGGGTTTGTTTTCTCAAGGTCACACTGACATCTACCGGACACACAGGGAACAGCCATATGGGAATCTATATATTATTATTATTATTATTATTATAGAGTTTTATATCTTTGTCCTAATGTAAAAACAAGGAAGTGGAAAATGACTCATTCTTATTGTTACGTTTAGTGTAAGTTCTGGGAAAGAACCTATGGGCTAAGTTCAGTTATAAATGATAAATACAGTGAGTTTGTCGTTTAAATACAGGTTTAAAGAGTGACTGTTTTTATGGGAATAAAGGGGCACATTTTTTACACGTTTTTATGATCTTTTTATAATGAGCTCAAACAGTGGCACCTTATAATAAACTACAACCAGGAAGAGACTGTAGACCCAGGACTGAGGCTGTAGACCCAGGACTGAGGCTGTAGACCCAGGACTGAGGCTGTAGACCCAGGACTGAGGCTGTAGACCCAGGACTGAGGCTGTAGACCCAGGACTGAGGCTGTAGACCCAGGACTGAGGCTGTAGACCCAGGACTGAGGCTGTAGACCCAGGACTGAGGCTGTAGACCCAGGACTGAGGCTGTAGACCCAGGACTGAGGCTGTAGACCCAGGACTGAGGCTGTAGACCCAGGACTGAGGCCGTAGACCCAGGACTGAGGCTGTAGACCCAGGACTGAGGCTGTAGACCCAGGACTGAGGCTGTAGATCCAGGACTGAGGCTGTAGACCCAGGACTGAGGCTGTAGACCCAGTAAATGGGACTGATGCATGGTTTGTCTTGTTACTTTCTTCCACAAATGAGATTTTAAAGATGAATAAAAGAATGAAAAATAACCCTTGACATTTTGTGTTTTATTAAATGAAAATATTGAGATAAAAGTGACGGCGACTTCACACAGACACAGTTTGAAAAATGAATTTATATATTTTTTCCATCGCAGTTACGTTACAATGTAAATATAGAAAACTCAATACTTGACGCATATAATACACTTTTCTACTGTGTTAAAATCTGTCGTCGGTTCTGCTTCTTGTTTTATCGTCTGCAGATAAATAGAATTCTGGAGGTAACAAAAATAATACGTTTTCTCGAATTGGCCCCGAACAAAACGCCTTAAAAATATCATCTCTGCTAGACACAGACTTTACACACAGACTTTATAGATTCTCTGCTTTTGTGGTCGGAAAATTGGTTCTGGAACATTCTGAGTGACTTGGGAAAGACGTGGAGATTCCCAGAGTGATGGAGCAGTTTGATTGACAGAAGCAGCGAGCAGGACCAGGCGGCCATTTTGTTTTTATATTATATAAGTTTCGTCCTGTCAAGTTCTTCAGATAAATGCACATTTGTTTACCTTCCCTGTAATATTAAAGCCTATTTAAGCTCAAATAAACATAACTTATTAGTATTCTGTGTCCTATAGTGTGACAATGTGTGGTGTTGTAAATAGGCAACGTGTTTGTTGTAATTTTGCAACGTCCCAAAACTTCAGTTACAGAGAAAACTAACTGTGCCCTAAACCGATTGGTGTGTGTGATATGTAACTCACCGTCATAATAAAAACTACAGATTTGAAAAAACTGGATCAAGACCGAGACCGAGACTTAATTTTGTGCGTCATCATTTCGTGAAGATTAAAGATTTAAAGACAGGAAGAAACTTGGATTTAAATACTGTTAATGTGAGACTCATAGACCTGAGTCCAAGATCCCTGTGAGTCACTATTTGACATTTTAGGCCCTGTGCTCACTGACACATAGGTACAGCTTGACTTGGTTCCAACTCTTCTTATTAAACCCAATCTGTCCATAGTAATCAGTAGCATTCATAATAGTCCATAAGCAGCTAACTCTACTGTAGACTTGAGTGTTCAAAATGGCCGCCGGGTCCTCCTCCAGACCTCCTCCAGACCTCCTCTTGTCTCTATAACATTACAGTGGGTCTACTCAGTGACGACACGTGGGACACACTCCTACAGACGTCACAGTCACTTCTCTGCTCGTACATTCGCATATTTATCAACATTTACAAGCAGCACGGACTTTTACCGAACAGAAAAAGCGCCTAGAAGCCAAACAAATACCCCGAAAGAGTCCTATGTACAAAACTACACAACCCAAACAGCACAGAGAGGTACTACAGCTACTCTTGCATTTCAAAATAAAAGTTTTTTTTCCTAACAATGACTTATTCGACCTGTGCTTTAAGTTTCCAGACCTGAGTCGAGAGGCTAAAGACCCACGAGTTTCTCTGGTGGGTTTTAGCGAAGATTCAGATTTTGGCGAAGGAGAAATGGACAAAATGGGACAAAAGGTGAAGTTGGGGGTTGGGTTTGTGGGAGAACTGAATGTGACGATGTTATTACGGACGATTCTGAGTCGGGAGTGTTTGCATCCATTCACTGTTACCCTGTTTTTATCTCCCGACTGAGTTAGACCAGTTTTTAGGTTTCATTTGTGACGATCCCGGAGACACGCCGTCTGCCTCCGCACCACGAGAAGAGATGAGAAAATGTATTTATTCTTAACTCCGGCAACAGCTATAGTTAGCTGTAAACACCGACATGTATTTGTAGTTATCCGTAATTTGACTAGTGACTCATCCAGACATTGTTTTTGAAGTGTTTTTAACCAGAATATTCTACTTTATGGCATTAAAATGACAGATACAAGTACTTTCTATACGTCTATACATACATTTCTCTCCACTGGCTCATGTAGAGGAGCAGCGGATCTACCCCGAGCTCCTCCAATGCAACTGAGTGGTGCATCAGATTTGTCTATGGTCACAATCTTATCTCGGGAGCTAAGCAGGGTCGGGCCTGGTTAGTGCTTGGATGAGAGACCACCTGCAATGGACCAATAGCTACACGTTTTTTTGAATGCCATAAAACGGAACATTTAAGGCGACGGACGATTCCACAGAGACCAGCAGGGGGCGCTGTCGTCACCAGGAAACGCAAGCCGGACTCTCTTTACACAAACAAAACACGAGAAGTTGCACATAAACGTATTTGGTTGCGTCACACCTGATTTGTTTCACCTGAAAGACTATATGTAAGGAATGATTGTTTTGTCAGAAGTCAAAGTGACACGTACAGAAGCTAACGCGGGGCGGCTGCTACGCTAAGCTAAACAACAACCTCCCTTTGTTTATTCATGTGCTATTTATACCGTTAAAGAACTATCTAGAAGCAAAGCAGTTCCTACGGGAGCAGACGTGCCCTTGAATCTACAACATTCATGCAAAATATTCACAATTAGTGTCTCTAGATGGCACCGTGCATCACAGTACATGTAGAAGGACTTTTTCTGTTTTTCTTTCAATGTACAACGCAATCCATGCCTGGTTTTTGTAGTGCAAGTAGCCTGGCCGTTCGTTTGGTTTTCAGGTTTGGGAGTCGACCTCTCATTGATATTGTGTTACGCCGAAAACCTACGTCTTTATGATCAGTTTGTCACAATCAGCCGGTGCCAGGCTACGAGAGTGAACAAAAAGCAGCAAATAATTGATAAAGTTGAGATTCCGGTGTGAGCATAGACCGTGTATTGACTTGATAAGGCATCGAGATTCTGCACCAGTGAAATAGTCGCTCCTTGCTCTTTTTGTTCACTCCGACTTCCCTCTGATTGGCTAACACCTCCAAACCCATAGCACCATTTTGAATATTGTTCCCACATTGTAAAGGAGGACTGTCGGACGTCGGCGTGAGGAGCTAGCTTTAGCATTTCCCCTCTGCTCTCTGGAGACTTGCATAGCGATTGCAGGAAGAGCAAGTGTAGTCCGGAAACTTTGGCACGGCCTTGGCAACTGTTGGTTTGTTCTGAAGGCAGTACTGAAGTTGCACCACAGCTTTTAAAGAGAAACCAGTTTTTGTGTTTGCACCATTAAGTTCATGTGTGGGACATGTTCGCACCATGGAAGGTCAGGGACTATCGTGTGTCATGGTTTTCAGAGAGACTTGGATTTTCGAGGTGAGGTTTTCTCGCTTTAGTTGAGCACCAAAGACCAAGAGGTACTTTAACAAATGTGAAGGATAGAGGAGAGGAATAATGGCAGATACCAGCAGCATCTCGGCTTCTACCATGTGTCTCTGTGGCAGCTACCATGTGTCTCTGTGGCAGCTACCATGTGTCTCTGTGGCAGCTACCATGTGTCTCTGTGGTAGCAGTGGTTATAGACGAGGACATTTAGTTTTAGGGTCAAAAGTATTGGAAATAGTTTTAAAAAGACTGATCTAGAATGGGCCGAGTACAGACACTTGTGGCACCTCTGTTTACTGTTGTTATAAGTGTTATGAATTACAGCTCCCGTCTTGTCTGTGTCTAATGGTGTCTTTTATAACAACCTTGAGTCTGGAATAAAGATTTACTTTTACTTCACCGGTATCACGGCACTGAGAAGTATTTGTTTACAGTTTTTGATGTTGAAGTACCCCTTGTTTCTCTCAGGCGTAAAACACCAATATATTCGTATATAATGAGCCGCGCATTACGGCTCACCACCACCAGGGGGCAGGGCTCTGGGGTCACCACCACCAGGGGGCAGGGCTCTGGGGTCACCACCACCAGGGGGCAGGGCTCTGGGGTCACCACCACCAGGGGGCAGGGCTCTGGGGTCACCACCACCAGGGGGCAGGGCTCTGGGGTCACCACCAGCAGGGGGCAGGGCTCTGGGGTCACCACCACCAGGGGGCAGGATTCTGGGGTCACCACCAGCAGGGGGCAGGGCTCTGGGGTCACCACCAGCAGGGGGCAGGGCTCTGGGGTCACCACCAGCAGGGGGCAGGACTCTGGGGTCATCACCAGGGGGCAGGGCTCTGGGGTCACCAGCAGGAGGGGGCAGGGCTCTGGGGTCACCAGCAGGGGGCAGGGCTCTGGGGTCACCACCAGGGGGCAGGGCTCTGGGGTCACCAGCAGCAGGGGGCAGGGCTCTGGGGTCACCAGCAGGGGGCAGGGCTCTGGGGTCACCACCAGGGGGCAGGGCTCTGGGGTCACCACCAGCAGGGGGCAGGACTCTGGGGTCACCAGCAGCAGGGGGCAGGACTCTGGGGTCACCAGCAGCAGGGGGGCAGGGCTCTGGGGTCACCACCAGCAGGGGGCAGGGCTCTGGGTTCACCACCAGCAGGGGGCAGGGCTCTGGGGTCACCACCAGCAGGGGGCAGGGCTCTGGGGTCACCACCAGCAGGGGGCAGGACTCTGGGGTCATCACCAGGGGGCAGGGCTCTGGGGTCACCAGCAGGAGGGGGCAGGGCTCTGGGGTCACCAGCAGGGGGCAGGGCTCTGGGGTCACCACCAGGGGGCAGGGCTCTGGGGTCACCAGCAGCAGGGGGCAGGGCTCTGGGGTCACCAGCAGGGGGCAGGGCTCTGGGGTCACCACCAGGGGGCAGGGCTCTGGGGTCACCACCAGCAGGGGGCAGGACTCTGGGGTCACCAGCAGCAGGGGGCAGGACTCTGGGGTCACCAGCAGCAGGGGGGCAGGGCTCTGGGGTCACCACCAGCAGGGGGCAGGGCTCTGGGTTCACCACCAGCAGGGGGCAGGGCTCTGGGGTCACCACCAGCAGGGGGCAGGGCTCTGGGGTCACCACCAGGGGGCAGGGCTCTGGGGTCACCACCAGCAGGGGGCAGGGCTCTAGGGTCACCACCAGGGGGCAGGGCTCTGGGGTCACCACCACCAGGGGGCAGGGCTCTGGGGTCACCACCAGGGGGCAGGGCTCTGGGGTCACCACCAGCAGGGGGCAGGGCTCTGGGGTCACCACCACCAGGGGGCAGGGCTCTGGGGTCACCACCAGCAGGGGGCAGGACTCTGGGGTCACCACCAGCAGGGGGCAGGACTCTGGGGTCACCAGCAGCAGGGGGCAGGGCTCTGGGGTCACCACCAGCAGGGGGCAGGACTCTGGGGTCACCAGCAGCAGGGGGCAGGACTCTGGGGTCACCAGCAGCAGGGGGGCAGGGCTCTGGGGTCACCACCAGCAGGGGGCAGGGCTCTGGGGTCACCACCAGCAGGGGGCAGGGCTCTGGGGTCACCACCAGCAGGGGGCAGGGCTCTGGGGTCACCACCAGGGGGCAGGGCTCTGGGGTCACCACCAGGGGGCAGGGCTCTGGGGTCACCACCAGCAGGGGGGCAGGGCTCTAGGGTCACCACCAGGGGGCAGGGCTCTGGGGTCACCACCACCAGGGGGCAGGGCTCTGGGGTCACCACCAGGGGGCAGGGCTCTGGGGTCACCACCAGCAGGGGGCAGGGCTCTGGGGTCACCACCAGCAGGGGGCAGGACTTTGGGGTCACCAGCAGGGGGCAGGGCTCTGGGGTCACCACCAGAGGGCAGGGCTCTGGGGTCACCACCAGCAGGGGGCAGGACTCTGGGGTCACCACCAGCAGGGGGCAGGACTCTGGGGTCACCAGCAGCAGGGGGCAGGGCTCTGGGGTCACCACCAGCAGGGGGCAGGACTCTGGGGTCACCAGCAGCAGGGGGCAGGGCTCTGGGGTCACCACCAGCAGGGGGCAGGACTCTGGGGTCACCAGCAGGGGGCAGGGCTCTGGGGTCACCACCCAGAGGGCAGGGCTCTGGGGTCACCACCAGCAGGGGGCAGGACTCTGGGGTCACCACCAGCAGGGGGCAGGACTCTGGGGTCACCAGCAGCAGGGGGCAGGGCTCTGGGGTCACCACCAGCAGGGGGCAGGACTCTGGGGTCACCAGCAGCAGGGGGCAGGACTCTGGGGTCACCAGCAGCAGGGGGGCAGGGCTCTGGGGTCACCACCAGCAGGGGGCAGGGCTCTAGGGTCACCACCAGGGGGCAGGGCTCTGGGGTCACCACCACCAGGGGGCAGGGCTCTAGGGTCACCACCAGGGGGCAGGGCTCTGGGGTCACCACCACCAGGGGGCAGGGCTCTGGGGTCACCACCAGGGGGCAGGGCTCTGGGGTCACCACCAGGGGGCAGGGCTCTGGGGTCACCACCAGCAGGGGGCAGGGCTCTGGGGTCACCACCAGCAGGGGGCAGGGCTCTGGGGTCACCACCAGCAGGGGGCAGGGCTCTGGGGTCACCACCACCAGCAGGGGGGCAGGGCTCTGGGGTCACCAGCAGCAGGGGGCAGGGCTCTGGGGTCACCACCAGCAGGGGGCAGGACTCTGGGGTCACCAGCAGCAGGGGGGCAGGACTCTGGGGTCACCAGCAGCAGGGGGGCAGGGCTCTGGGGTCACCACCAGCAGGGGGCAGGGCTCTGGGGTCACCACCAGGGGGCAGGGCTCTGGGGTCACCACCAGCAGGGGGCAGGGCTCTGGGGTCACCACCAGGGGGCAGGGCTCTGGGGTCACCACCACCAGGGGGCAGGGCTCTGGGGTCACCACCACCAGGGGGCAGGGCTCTGGGGTCATCACCAGGGGGCAGGGCTCTGGGGTCACCACCAGGGGGCAGACAGACCAAGAGAGTTTGTGTTTGAGTCTGAACTGATAGATCAGAATAATTAACTTTCCCTTTGGGCTTTTGCAATCATTTGCCACTCAAGCGTTGCCATGACGATTCACATTAGAGACGCTTCTGGACCTGGTCAATCTAATTAGTTGTATTTCCAAGATCCTCCTCTTTTCTCTTTTACGTTGGAAATTCTCAATAATAGTAAACATTTCTCACACAATACGACTCTGCTTGGTTCAGTCACAACTTTTGCCTTTTTGATTCTTTAAATGTCTTAGTTGTAAATCCAGCCTTTGTTCTAATGTTTTATAAATGTCTTTTACAAATTAAGGGTTGTAAAGTCTTAATGATATATTATTATTATAATAATATATATCTATAATAAGGACACCAGCCTAACACTGGAAATACACTGTCACTGTCATTGTTAATCGATGTGTTTGAGACACATCTGTGACACTGACCTTAAAGGTGATGTCTGCTACTACACAATAATGCATATTCCTGAAGTTTAATTTATATTAAAGATTTTTCACAAATTGTTTAAAACATTCTCTCCCCTGGGAATAACCAGGCCTCACCACAAAGATTTAGCGGTTATCTTCCAATGGGGAGGGGCCTCAGCTGTCTATCCAGGATTTGAATTTATTGTGTCCAATCAGGAGGCAGTGGGGGCGGGTCTAACTGGAGCAAATCTCTCTCTGTGTTAACAAGAAACTGACTTTAACTCCAATCACCTTGAGAAATATTGCTCTACAGAAGCAGCCAATCATGTGTCTTCTACCGGTGCCGACGTGTGACATCACAATAAGGTCTTTGTGGTCGTTGTATGTTTGTAGCATGTTTACAGTTTCCCCGATCGAAGCTGAAGTTGATCCCGGCTGGTTCAGTTACTTGTCTGACTCTACACAACCTACGTTTAGTTTCAGACGATAATAAAACAATAAAAACACCTCTTATTTACATAAAAAATATATACACAATCTTTAGACGAGACTCGACAAAACGCTCACAGAATCCTGACGTTAAAGTGGAACATCGCACGCTGGGTGTCGACAGCATGCATGGCCTTGTTTTTTTTGTTTTTAGGTTTTTGACACTGCGGCCAATGGGAACGAAGGACGGACAGAGGTGTGCAGGGAGCAGATGGAGATCAGGGCATTGTCAGACAGTAGAAGATATGGATCTTTTAACACAGATATATTACTCTTCTGGACGATGTAGGACATGCTCTTCCTGTTTGAGCAGTGCTGAATATTCTTAGGATCCGGTTAAAGCTAACCTTGCCTGCAAGCTGAATTCTCGCGGTATTTGTGAGTTCACAAACACTCGAGAATACATCTTGTACCGCTCCCGCTTACACTTTTCGAGTCGAACCACTGGGTGTGCGAGCCAATCACGCGCCAGTCTGGGGGTTTAGGGCGGGATATCCGGGTTTGACGAAAGCAAGAAGTGCCGGGCCGAAGCAAAACAAACATGGCTACGCAGGAGGACGGACGCGTAGCTGAGGCTATCAAGTCAGTTTTAGCAGAATCTCCAATTTCTTTTTTGAAAGATGAACAGCGAGAGGCGCTTTGTGCATTTCTGGACGGCAACCTTGGTAGGCGGGCACACAGCGTCACTTCGCCCAATCAGCTTGAAGTATTCTGCTGCTTATCCCTCCTTTCCCCGAAAGGATTCTCCGGGAGAAATCCCAGATTGATATCGTGGAGAACGCGTTAGAGTTCTACACAATCATCAATCTGGCTCTTGCCAGGTTAGGTTAAAGCTGGGGGACTCAAGTTTTCGCCCAAAAGGAGTGTCTTGTAAACGTTAAATGTTACGATAATAATGAAAAAATGAACAAATCTGACCACCATGTTGTAAAATATATATAATCTTTTGTATACTTGTGAGAAAGCGCTCACAGCTGGTTGGCTGAGTCATGGTTTTCACTTTTCTGTTTTGAAAAATCTGATTTAAGAAGAAAGAGAAGCCAAAAATACAGGTACTGTGTGAAAAAAACAACAAATTATGTTGGAGATAGAAACTGGTTCGATCGATCGTATCACGACGGCCACATTGTTGTGTTTTGAAAGTTAAACCCCAGATTTAAGATTATTTCACCTAATTTATGGTCTGCGCTGTGATTGGTCCATATCTCTCTACTGTCTGTTCTTTGACGCCGTGGTTTAGATGTATCGCAGGGAGCAGCGGCGCTAATGTGAGCTCAGTGTCAGAGGGAGGACTCGTACTGCAGCAGTTCGTACAGAAGCGGGCCGTCCCGGTAGCGGATCCCCACGGCCGCGGGGGTGATGTACTGCAGGATGTTTATAGTCCTCCGCAGGCGCCGGTCCACGTAGTGAGCGTCCCAGGCCGGGTACCTCTTCCTGGGCATGTCGATCTTGATGAGAGGGCCCTCGGGTTTGGAAGCGGGGGGTGACGACCGCACCTGAAACAGCCATAGTTTATGAGTTAAAGAAAGGAGAATAGAGAAACTGCTGGAGCAAACTGAGATCGCAGAAGTTATCCACGTTCAGACAGATTTCAAATTATTATCAAATGTTATGGAGCCAAGACGTTTCTCACACAATCCTCTGTTTTTATTCACCACCGTCGGTTTATGAGTAATTATCACGACATTCACAGCCAGATCACAGCTTGCCATCACTGTAAGGTAACACTAGCTATAGCCACATTAGCACACTATCAAGAGCTATAATAAACACTAGCTATAGCCACATTAGCACACTATCAAGAGCTATAATAAACACTAGCTATAGCCACATTAGCACACTATCAAGAGCTATAATAAACACTAGCTATAGCCACATTAGCACACTATCAAGAGCTATAATAAACACTAGCTATAGCCACATTAGCACACTATCAAGAGCTATAATAAACACTAGCTATAGCCACATTAGCACACTATCAAGAGCTATAATAAACACTAGCTATAGCCACATTAGCACACTATCAAGAGCTATAATAAACAATAATTATAGGCACATCGCACCAACCAGATCCAGAGGACACTAGGGGGCGCTGGTGTCATGGAACTCATCGTCCAACATGAACTGATTAAACCAAGACCAATGTGTGTAATGAGTATGATTATTATACCACATTTATTATGAGACTGAAGCTCTTCTCATACTGCATACCTGTGTTGAAAACTGTGATGAGTTAACAGTGGGGAAAGGTTGGTGTGTTGTTTGGACCAGTGTCAGCGTTTGGAAACAGGGAATGCAGGAATGTTCTAAAATGGGGTCAAAACAAACTTGTCTCACTGCGCAGCACCCGGAGACTCAGTTTATACCTTCTTCCCTGACCCACATGTCAGAACACACACCGACAAGAAAACTAGATCATAACGGGTTAAATGCTGTTGTTTCAATCTGCCTGTGATTTTGCTCAGTGTGAATGAGGCTAATGTCTGTGATTTACCAAAGTGGGACATTTAAAAGTCTAAATCAGGCCGATGTGAGCCAGGACTTTCACCTGAAACACGGGCAGACAGGACTCGGCCACTTCCTCCTCTGTCTGTGATTTGGTCATGTGAGCAGGAGTGGGCGGGGCAGTGGGCGGGGCCGAGGGCGGTAAGGGCAGCCCCCACAGGAGCTGGGCGCAGCAGGAGGAGGCGGGGCTTGGCTGGAGGTGCGCGGTGGCCGGGTGCAGGAAGCCGTAGTACAGCAACATGACGAGAACTCCCCCCGCGAAGGTGAGGTAGACCCCACAGAGGACCGGGACCGCGTACGAGTCGGTCTGAGCGGGGTCTCTGTAGGCGTACCTGCAGCAACACACACACATGAAGACATCAGAGACATAAACACACACACACATGCCGACATCAGAGACATAAACACACACACACATGCCGACATCAGAGACATAAACACACACACACATGCCGACATCAGAGACATAAACACACACACACATGCCGACATCAGAGACATAAACACACACACACATGCCGACATCAGAGACATAAACACACACACACATGCCGACATCAGAGACATAAACACACACACACATGCCGACATCAGAGACATAAAACACACACACACATGCCGACATCAGAGACATAAACACACACACACATGCCGACATCAGAGACATAAACACACACACACATGCCGACATCAAAGACATAAACACACACGTACACACACATGCAGAGACATCAGAGACATAAACACACACACACGTACACACACATGCAGAGACATAAACACACACACACACACACACACATGCAGACATCAGGGACATGAACACACACGTACACACACATGAAGACATCAGAGACATAAACACACACACACACGTACACACGGACACACACATGCCGACATCAGAGACATAAACACACACGTACACACACATGCCGACATCAGAGACATAAACACACACACACACACGTACACACACATGCAGAGACATCAGAGACATAAACACACACACACACGTACACACGGACACACACATGCCGATATCAGAGACATAAACACACACACGTACACACACATGAAGTCATCAGAGACATGAACACACACACACACGTACACACACATGCAGAGATATCAGAGACATAAACACACACACACACGTACACACACATGCAGAGACATCAGAGACATAAACACACACACACACGTACACACGGACACACACATGCAGATATCAGAGACATAAACACACACGTACACACACATGAAGACATCAGAGACATAAACACACACACACACACACATGCCGACATCAGAGACATAAACACACACACACACACACACACACGTACACACACATGCAGAGACATCAGAGACATAAACACACACGTACACACACATGAAGACATCAGAGACATAAACACACACGTACACACACATGCCGACATCAGAGACATAAACACACACGTACACACACATGAAGACATCAGAGACATAAACACACACACACACACGTACACACACATGCAGAGACATCAGAGACATAAACACACACACACACGTACACACGGACACACACATGCAGATATCAGAGACATAAACACACACGTACACACACATGAAGACATCAGAGACATAAACACACACACACACACACATGCCGACATCAGAGACATAAACACACACACACACACACACACACGTACACACACATGCAGAGACATCAGAGACATAAACACACACGTACACACACATGAAGACATCAGAGACATAAACACACACGTACACACACATGCCGACATCAGAGACATAAACACACACACACACACACGTACACACACATGCCGACATCAGAGACATAAACACACACACACACACATGAAGACATCAGAGACATAAACACACACACACACACACATGCCGACATCAGAGACATAAACACACACACACACACACGTACACACACATGCCGACATCAGGGACATAAACACACACGTACACACACATGCAGAGACATCAGAGACAATCATGCACACACACGCACACACATACACACACATACGGAGACATTCAGAGACAATCATGCACACACACACATGCACACACGTACATACACATTCAGAGACACACACACACATACACATACACACATACAGAGACATTCAGAGACACACACGCAGTTGTTTAAAGATATACATTAGGATTTCCTTCCTCCGGGTGGATCATGAAGACTATTGGTCCTCCTACCTGTCAATCATTCTGTGACTAGGGGCCGTCGGTCGTCAATCAGAGTGTTTTTGGAATGTTGTTGAATGTTTTGTCGATGCAAAAATCCTATTATTGAAAAAGTGTATCATTGATAGTTGAGGACTCACCAGAGGCCGGTGAGGAGGGTGTTCTCGGCCAGCACCACGCTGTAGTACGCCACCATCCTGTGCCGGGTCCGCCCCTCTTTCACGTTGAACCAGCAGAAGATGTAGACGATGCCCACCACCATGTTGAACAGCACCTCCTCCCACTTGGACATGCAGAAGTCTGTCCCGCCGTGCACCACCCAGAACGCCATGGCGCACCAGTGCACCACCACGAAGATCCCGAAGTAGATGTGGAAGAGGGACGCGAACAGAGCGAGAGAGAGGACCCGGGACGAGATGGTGAAGAGCCGCCAGAACAGGTGCAACAGGGCGCCACGGTAACTCATGCTGCGCTGGTCGTCCCGAGAGTCACGGAGGAGCTTATGGTACGAGGCCAAGACCCAGGCCAAAGACAGGAGCGAGGCCAGAGACGAGATACCTGTCAGAACGTAGAGAAGTTAGAGTTTTATAGAGATTAAGACCCAGGCCAGAGAGAGGAGCGTGGCCAGAGACGAGATACCTGTCTCTCTCTGGTCTCTCTCTGGTCTCTCTCTCTGGTCTCTCTCTGGTCTCTCTCTGGTCTCTCTCTGGTCTCTCTCTGGTCTCTCTCTGGTCTCTCTCTGCTCTATCTCTGGTCTCTCTCTGGTCTCTCTCTGGTCTCTCTCTCTGGTCTCTCTCTGGTCTCTCTCTGGTCTCTCTCTCTGGTCTCTCTCTGGTCTCTCTCTGCTCTATCTCTGGTCTCTCTCTGGTCTCTCTCTGGTCTCTCTCTGGTCTATCTCTGGTCTCTCTCTGGTCTCTCTCTGGTCTCTCTCTGGTCTCTCTGCTCTATCTCTGGTCTCTCTCTGGTCTCTCTCTGGTCTCTCTCTGGTCTCTCTCTCTGGTCTCTCTCTGGTCTCTCTCTGGTCTTTCTCTGGTCTCTCTCTGGTCTCTCTCTGGTCTCTCTCTGGTCTCTCTCTGGTCTCTCTCTGCTCTTTCTCTGGTCTCTCTCTCTGGTCTCTCTCTGGTCTCTCTCTGGTCTCTCTCTGGTCTCTCTCTGGTCTCTCTCTAGTCTCTCTCTGGTCACTCTCTGGTCTCTCTCTGGTCTCTCTCTGGTCTCTCTCTGGTCTCTCTCTAGTCTCTCTCTGGTCTCTCTCTCTGGTCTCCCTCTCTGGTCTCTCTCTAGTCTCTCTCTAGTCTCTCTCTGGTCTCTCTCTCTAGTCACTCTCTGGTCTCCCTCTCTGGTTTCTCTCTAGTCTCTCTCTAATCTCTCTCTGGTCACTCTCTAGTCTCTCTCTGGTCTCTCTCTGGTCTCTCTCTAGTCTCTCTCTGGTCTCTCTCTGGTCTCTCTCTGGTCACTCTCTAGTCTCTCTCTAGTCTCTCTCTGGTCTCTCTCTGGTCTCTCTCTCTGATCTCTCTCTCTGGTCTCTCTCTAGTCTCTCTCTCTGGTCTCTCTCTGGTCTCTCTCTGGTCTCTCTCTAGTCTCTCTCTGGTCTCTCTCTCTGGTCTCTCTCTGGTCTCTCTCTGGTCTCTCTCTAGTCTCTCTCTAGTCTCTCTCTAGTCTCTCTCTAGTCTCTCTCTAGTCTCTCTCTGGTCTCTCTCTGGTCTCTCTCTCTGGTCTCTCTCTGGTCCCACTCTGGTCCCTCTCTGGTCCCTCTCTGGTCCCTCTCTAGTCCCTCTCTGGTCCCACTCTGGTCTCTCTCTGGTCTCTGGTCTCTCTCTGGTCTCTCTCTGGTCTCTCTGGTCTCTCTCTGGTCTCTCTGGTCTCTCTCTGGTTACTCTCTCTTTGGTCTCTCTCTGGTCTCTCTCTGGTCTCTCTCTGGTCTCTCTGGTCTCTCTCTGGTCTCTCTCTGGTCTCTCTGGTCTCTCTCTCTGGTCTCTCTCTCTGGTCTCTCTCTGGTCTCTCTCTGGTCTCTCGCTGGTCTCTCTCTGGTCTCTCGCTGGTCTCTCTCTCTGGTCTCTCTCTCTGGTCTCTCTCTGGTCTCTCTCTCTGGTCTCTCTCTGGTCTCTCTCTGGTCTCTCTCTGGTCTCTCTCTGCTCTTTCTCTGGTCTCTCACTCTGGTCTCTCTCTGGTCTCTCTCTGGTCTCTCTCTGGTCTCTCTCTGGTCTCTCTCTGGTCTCTCTCTAGTCTCTCTCTGGTCACTCTCTGGTCTCTCTCTCTCTGGTCTCTCTCTGGTCTCTCTCTAGTCTCTCTCTAGTCTCTCTCTGGTCTCTCTCTCTGGTCTCTCTCTCTGGTCTCTCTCTAGTCTCTCTCTAGTCTCTCTCTGGTCTCTCTCTCTAGTCTCTCTCTGGTCTCCCTCTCTGGTCTCTCTCTAGTCTCTCTCTAATCTCTCTCTGGTCACTCTCTAGTCTCTCTCTGGTCTCTCTCTGGTCTCTCTCTGGTCTCTCTCTGGTCTCTCTCTGGTCTCTCTCTGGTCTCTCTCTGGTCACTCTCTAGTCTCTCTCTAGTCTCTCTCTGGTCTCTCTCTGGTCTCTCTCTCTGGTCTCTCTCTAGTCTCTCTCTCTGGTCTCTCTCTGGTCTCTCTCTAGTCTCTCTCTAGTCTCTCTCTCTGGTCTCTCTCTGGTCTCTCTCTGGTCTCTCTGGTCTCTCTCTGGTTACTCTCTCTTTGGTCTCTCTCTGGTCTCTCTCTGGTCTCTCTCTGGTCTCTCTGGTCTCTCTCTGGTCTCTCTCTGGTCTCTCTCTCTGGTCTCTCTCTCTGGTCTCTCTCTGGTCTCTCGCTGGTCTCTCTCTGGTCTCTCGCTGGTCTCTCTTTCTGGTCTCTCTCTGGTCTCTCTCAGGTCTCTCTGGTCTCTCTCTGGTCTCTCTCTGGTCTCTCTCTGGTCTCTCGCTGGTCTCTCTCTCTGGTCTCTCTCTCTGGTCTCTCTCTGGTCTCTCTGGTCTCTCTCTGGTCTCTCTCTGGTCTCTCTCTGGCCTCTCTCTGATTTCTCTCTGGTCTCTCTCTGGTCTCTCTCTGGTCTCTCTGGTCTCTCTCTGGTCTCTCTCTGGTCTCTCTCTGGTCTCTCTCTGGTCTCTCTCTGGTTTCTCTCTGGTCTCTCTCTGGTCTCTCTCTGGTCTCTCGCTGGTCTCTCTCGCTGGTCTCTCTCTCTGGTCTCTCTCTGGTTTCTCTCTGGTCTCTCTCTTCGGTCTCTCTCTGGTCTCTCTCTGGTCTCTCTCTGGCCTCTCTCTGGTCTCTCGCTGGTCTCTCTCTGGTCTTTCTCTCTGGTTTCTCTCTGGTCTCTCTCTGGTTTCTCTCTGGTCTCTCTCTTGGGTCTCTCTTTGGTCTTTCTCTCTGGTCTCTCTCTGGTCTCTCTCTGGTCTCTCTCTAGTCTCTCTCTCTGGTCTCTCTCTGGTCTCTCTCTCTGGTCTCTCTCTCTGGTCTCTCTCTCTGGTCTCTCTCTGGTCTCTCTCTCTGGTCTCTCTCTGGTCTCTCGCTGGTCTCTCTCTCTGGTCTCTCTCTCTGGTCTCTCTCTGGTCTCTCTGGTCTCTCTCTGGTCTCTCTCTGGTTTCTCTCTGGTCTCTCTCTGGTCTCTCTCTGGTCTCTCGCTGGTCTCTCTCTCTGGTCTCTCTCTCTGGTCTCTCTCTGGTCTCTCTCTGGTCTCTCGCTGGTCTCTCTCGTCTCTCTCTCTGGTCTCTCTCTGGTCTCTCTCTGGTTTCTCTCTGGTCTCTCTCTTGGGTCTCTCTCTGGTCTCTCACTCTGGTATCTCTCTGGTCTCTCTCTGGTCTCTCTCTAGTCTCTCTCTCTCTAGTCTCTCTCTCTGGTCTCTCTCTGGTCTCTCTCTGGCCTCTCTCTGATTTCTCTCTGGTCTCTCTCTTTGGTCTCTCTCTGGTCTCTCTCTCTGGTCTCTCTCTGGTCTCTCTCAGGTCTCTCTCTGGTCTCTCTCTGGTCTCTCTCTGGGCTCTCTCTCTGGTCTCTCTCTGGTCTCTCTCTGGTCTCTCTCTGGTCTCTCTCTGGTCTCTCTCTCTGGTCTCTCTCTGGTCTCTCTCTGGTCTCTCTCTGGTCTCTCTGGTCTCTCTCTGGTCTCTCTCTGGTCTCTCTCTGGTCTCTCTCTGGTCTCTCTCTGGTCTCTCTCTGGTCTCTCTCTCTGGTCTCTCTCTCTGGTCTCTCTCTGGTCTCTCTCTCTGGTCTCTCTCTGGTCTCTCTCTCTGGTCTCTCTCTCTGGTCTCTCTCTAGTCTCTCTCTCTGGTCTCTCTCTCTGGTCTCTCTCTCTAGTCTCTCTCTCTGGTCTCTCTCTCTGGTCTCTCTCTGGTTTCTCTCTGGTCTCTCTCTTGGGTCTCTCTCTGGTCTCTCTCTAGTCTCTCTCTCTGGTCTCTCTCTGGTCTCTCTCTTTGGTCTCTCTCTGGTCTCTCTCTCTGGTCTCTCTCTGGTCTCTCTCTGGTCTCTCTGGTCTCTCTCTGGTCTCTCTCTGGTCTCTCTCTGGTCTCTCTCTGGTCTCTCTCTCTGGTCTCTCTCTGGTCTCTCTCAGGTCTCTCTGGTCTCTCTCTGGTCTCTCTCTGGTCTCTCTCTGGTCTCTCTCTGGTTTCTCTCTGGTCTCTCTCTGGTCTCTCTCTGGTCTCTCGCTGGTCTCTCTCTGGTCTCTCTCTCTCTCTCTCTGGTCTCTCTCTGGTTTCTCTCTGGTCTCTCTCTTCGGTCTCTCTCTGGCTCTCTCTCTGGTCTCTCTCTGGTCTCTCTCTAGTCTCTCTCTGGTCTCTCTCTCTGGTCTCTCTCTGGTCTCTCTCTGGTCTCTCTCTGGTCTCTCTGGTCTCTCTCTGGTTACTCTCTCTTTGGTCTCTCTCTGGTCTCTCTCTCTGGTCTCTCTCTGGTCTCTCTCTAGTCTCTCTCTGGTCTCTCTCTCTGGTCTCTCTCTGGTCTCTCTCTGGTCTCTCTCTGGTCTCTCTCTGGTCTCTCTCTGGTTACTCTCTCTTTGGTCTCTCTCTGGTCTCTCTCTGGTCTCTCTCTGGTCTCTCTGGTCTCTCTCTGGTCTCTCTCTGGTCTCTCTCTGGTCTCTCTCTCTGGTCTCTCTCTCTGGTCTCTCTCTGGTCTCTCTCTGGTCTCTCGCTGGTCTCTCTCTGGTCTCTCGCTGGTCTCTCTCTCTGGTCTCTCTCACTGGTCTCTCTCTGGTCTCTCTGGTCTCTCTCTGGTCTCTCTCTGGTCTCTCTCTGGTCTCTCTCTGGTCTCTCTCTGGCCTCTCTCTGATTTCTCTCTGGTCTCTCTCTTTGGTCTCTCTCTGGTCTCTCTTTCTGGTCTCTCTCTGGTCTCTCTCAGGTCTCTCTGGTCTCTCTCTGGTCTCTCTCTGGTCTCTCTCTGGTCTCTCGCTGGTCTCTCTCTCTGGTCTCTCTCTCTGGTCTCTCTCTGGTCTCTCTGGTCTCTCTGGTCTCTCTCTGGTCTCTCTCTGGTCTCTCTCTGGTCTCTCT